AATCTAGCGTGAAAGTCTAATGTTTCCTTATGGGATTCAGCATAAGGAAAACATTATATTTCATCAGAGCAACCAAAGCTGCCATGTATACAAGTTTCACGGGTGCTAATTTTCAGATTTATTTCATAATAACTACAATACTGTGGCAGTATGTGACACCCATTATTTTACAACACTAGTGGAAAATCCAATGGATACATCATTCCAGTGGGAATGTCTTATGGTTGTTTTTTCCATTTATATCTGTAAGATAACTAAAGAATTATTTGTTGAACACCTTTTCTTTAAAATCCTATATAGGTTTTCAAATGCTATGCTTTTAAAGAGTTTGCTGTAATTCTTCTATCTATGCCAAACTCTATTTTTCATTTGCGAGCCAAACAATTGTGATCACTGAGCAGGGTCAACATTTAAATGATGACTCATATTAGTAGAGCTTAATGTCAATGGAAACTTGCTTGCAAGATTTTCTCATGTCCCTCCCTAGCATCTCAACAGCTCACTCGAAATGGAATTCTCCACATCTGCAAGAAAAGTTTCAACCCTACTGCATAAGAAATTGCATTTAAAGGTTCAACCTATGCATATTTACATAGGAAAAGATCCTCTAATTCCCAGCATTCCCCAGTCAGCCACGCAGGCTGGGAGAATATTGTAGGGCTTTTTTCTATCTAAACATACATAGTATTGTGAGCTGTCCTAGCACTATGCAATATATTTTGTCACAATCCAGAGCTACAGTCTAGATCTATGTCACATACATTGCACTGCCGCTACAATTGCCACCATGAGGACAACCCCCCATGGAATGCTTTCAGTTTACAAATCCACTTGTGAGACCCAACCGTTCAGTGCAGGAAACCCCATCTTTTTGATGAGGTTCGCCTGTGTGATTAAATTAACCTGATTAAAACATAGCCGAGGATCTTCACATCTCAAACAGTATTGGTTGTTCACTAGTACACAATAATTATTAGTTGCGTATTGGTTCTTTTTTTCACACACCCCTTTTACCACTATTGAAAAGGTAGCTTACCTTTGATTTTAAATATTCTTTTGCATGGTGTATGTGTCTGTTTATGCTTATTTCTTCTTCTAAAAATGCTCAGCAGTGCGTGTATATAGATTCGCAAAGTTCTGATAATCAACTCTGTTATCCTTTAAAAGAGAAAAAAAGATATGAAAACTCTTTAAGTGACAGCAGCCTGATTCCCATAGCATACGGTTGGTTCTTAGGGTTAGCAGAGTGGAATGTCCATGGCATTCATCCTCTATCCTTGTTCTCCATGCATTTTGAAGCTGGGGGAAATGCTCAGTGGTCCAGAGCACATGGCTCAAGCAAGGTAGCCCAGAGGTCCGGAGCAAGTCTGAAGGCTTTTGTGCAGGGCTGTCCCTGATTCGACAGAATCAGCTTGGCTCTGACTTTCAGCTGCTACTGGGTTTTCTTCCTCATTAGTAGACTCGAGCTTTTCTGGTGTCCAACTGCATGCTTCAGGGATGATTCTCAGCCATCTGTCATGGCTGGTGCCCTGGAGAATCATGGGATGAAGGACGAGAGTCAGGAACCACATCAGGGCTGGGGTCAAGGTTCTCTGGGCCCCGCGGTCCTTTGCAACAGGATTCCTCAGGATGCTTCATCTCTTCCGCAGGACTGGATAGCAATGAGGTGTCAAAACAATCCTCATCCAAGAGGTTTCCCCTGGGCTGGTGTTGGCCAGATGCCCATCAACCATTCACTCATATTCTACATTACTCTCTTGTTCCATCTGCTCATTGCCGTTGTTCACCCTCAGAACTTTCTGAGTGGATCTGCCCAGCCCTATTAGCTTCCTTACAGAACCTGTTTGTTTATTTTATTTTGAATAATGTAGGGATTGTTCCTGATCCACTCCATGTTTTTATTCTTATAGGGGGGTTTTCCCCTTTCCTGCTTGCCTTGGCGAATTCTCTCACATATCACTGGGGACTCTGCCTTCCTTTCCATAGCCTATTTTGGCATCCATTGTGTCCACATGGAGGACACAAACAGGATTATCTAGTGGACCACACTATTTAATATATTTTTAACAAATATAATCCTTTAAGGGAACCTTTGAACATTTGGACCTCCAACACTAAATGAGTTACAGCTTCTCAGTTATTGTAAGGAAGGGCTTTCAGTCTGAATATTTTGTGTATGATGTTTGATTTATCAAATAGCTAAAAATTGTTGTATTGAGCTGCTAAATGACTACAGAAAACAGAGCTTTCTAAATGGTTCATTCACTGTCCAATGTTCCATATTTCCTAATTATGGTTAGGAAACTTAGCAATGGACTATTGGTGAATTAATAAATTATAATAATTATTAAAATATTCTAATTATAAAATTAAAATTTTATTACAATTATTTCCTATCATTTCCAAAAGGAAATGAAAGTCACCACAATAACATATACATAATGTAAATAAAATCCAAATATGAATTAAAAATCATAAAAATACCAGCAACATAGCAATGAAAAATGTTAAAACTGCATAAACCAGAACTCCAGTGTGAAAGCAGAGAAAAAGAGACACAGCCTTAACCTTTCATGATGAAGATTACAACAAATTCAGCTGAAGGCCTCTCTAGGTACCAGTGGGGAGGGATAGGCAAGAGGGTTCCCAGAGGCACCAATGTGTTCCTGGACACCTTTCTTGTCTCCTGTCAAGATGACTTCTCCTTCCACTTAACTGTGGAAGTTTTTAAATACATTTTCCCATCAACAGCTGTGAATTAAACCTGCTGAAAAGTTTGATTTCAAGAGATGCTAGTTCATTGAGGCTTACAACCCACTTCTGCCTTGAGGACCTATCTTTTGGACAGGTTACTTGTCCTTTTCCATACCTCCCATAGCAATAATTTTGTGGTGATAGCAAGGACAATTTCTCAGTTTATGCACCCATTGGCCAAAAAGTTTGCTTAACCCCGTATGAAAGCATCAATACATCCAAAACGATGGAGTATTGGAGCTTGATGAATGTCAACTGGGAGGCCATTCCATGGACTAATAAAAAGCCCCATCACTTTTTATCACCCTCCAGGTCTTAGTCAGCTGAGCAATCCAGAACAGGGCCTTAGATGATGAATGAGAGATAAAGATTTGGGAAGCAACATAGGTGGTCCTTGGGCTACCTGGCTTCCTACCTCATTAGGGTTTTAAAGATTAAAACTAGCATTTGGAGTAGTGTCCAGAAAAAATCTGAAAAGTAGTATAGTATGAACTTTGTAACCAGAATAAAAATTAATCAAATTAGCATTAACTCTTTCCCTAGTTTCATGTCATTCTCACAGTTAACTCACTATATCTAGTATCACATCACTATTTATGATACAGTAATAGTCCCAGACAATATGCCTGTGTTTGAAAGAGTAATGTAAGAATAATTGCCCTTCTTAAAGCTCATTTATTTACTTAGATCTTTATCTATGCCAGAAATGAATGTGTACCATCATTTCCTGCATTCTATTTTTAGCCAAAAGACCAAATTGTAGAAATTCCACAGCGTCAGAAGCAAAAATAGTTCCAGGAGCATCCTGAATGACCATATGTTTACACTGTATCCTTGGCATTGTCTCTAGTCTTCTACCTGTGTAGCCCAGTGGATCTCTTAGTTAACAAGATTAGTTAGTTGTCTAGTTATTTTGCTTTACAACTGATACTAAATCCAGTGCATAGACAAAATCAGAATGACAGGTGCCATGGGAGTGCCCATCTTTTTTCTTTACCCACTCAAGCTAACATAGTTTCAAGAGTGATTTGATCAAGGAAGTGGAACAGCTTAACCTTCCCCCACCGTGATCTAATTTGCAGCTCTCCATTATCTTGTTGTTCTTGTTATATGCCATCAAGTTGTCCCTGTCTTACGGAGACCCAATTAACTGATGCCCTCCAAAATGTACTAACCTTTCCAGCTTTGCTCAGCCCTTGAAAAATCAAGGGTGTGGTTTCCTTTATGGAGTCAATCCATTTCATATTTGGCTCCATTATCTACTTCAAGGAAAATCAATACATAAATAAGAAGGCAAAGATCCAAATGTGGATTTCGTGCATATCTGTGTTAACTCTAACAAACACGAAGAACATACTGTTGCAACTTGAAGAATAAAAAGAGAAATAGTTGGTTCACACTTCTATTTGCTCTAGTTGTGAGTCCGTATGATATATTGATTAGTAGAACAGGGGGAGACAAACTCATGGGATGTTGGAACATTTGATTCTTTTAAAAACTTTGAGAAACTACCAAAAAATGGATGCCATAGGGGCATAAAAAAGGATGGAAGGATCAAATTTCCCAAATGAGTGACTACAAGGCAGAGGTGGGGTCTGATCCCCAACATCTCCTTTGAGCCTCAATGTTCAGTGCCAACAGTAACTAATTTCAAAGCTATCCTAGCTTCTGGTAAGGAAATGCATTATTTATTTTTAATCATAGCTGGGATAAAACACCTGAAATGATGTTTGGGAATATATTGGGGCTTATGAGTACCACATTGCCTATCCCTAGGCTAGAGTTTGAGATAAAAATCAGGGATACCCTCTTCCAAATACCCATTTAACCATGGGGTTCACTGGGTAACCATGGGCTACTGACTAGGTGTCCATCTAGTCTCATCCACAGGATTGCTGTGCAGGTGAAGTAGGAAGAGAAAGAACTCTGATTTCCTTGCAAGGAGGGTGTAATTAAAGCGGGGGACAACTAAATGAGGCAGACAATTTGTTTCTAAAGTGAAAATATAGAGGATTCATAGCAAAAGGTAGTATCCCCTCTCTGCTTCTTTGGCAGAAGTTCTATGAGGCTCGTATCAGAGGCTGAAGACCCTTGACAAAAGACTTAGCTTTATATTTATATGAAATTTGCCTGTGAAACTGACATAATGAATAGTATGAATTACAGGTATAAAAGGACAATGCTGAGAATCACACACATATGTGAAGGCTATAAACTCACCAAAATGTCTCTTCTTACCTTTCTAGTTCTGGAAGAATTCGAACAAACAATTCTTCCTAGCTATGGAACAGCACCTGGCCAGCAAGCACTTCATATGCCAGAATGGGTAGGTACTCTTTTACTTAACATTATCTTTGTACTCTTACAAAATTTGACATTACAATACTGAGTTCATGGAGTGTGGCTCTGAAACCAGAAGTAACTCCTGCTAGGAGAACATAGCCAGAAAGGCACTTATTTTGAGGAGGCCATGTATGGGTAAGAGGGGGGTAACAAGCATGGGTAACAATGCTGCCATACCGTATGCATTCCCCATCATATCACTTTAAAGGTTGGAGAAAAGGAAATTGATTCATGGCATGTCAGGAAGCCTTTTATTGTATAACCATCCTGCCTTGTTCATAGATTTTTATGAAGGATCCAGAGAATGTCTTCTGCTAGTAGCACTGCTATGTTTTCCAATTGCTTCTTCTATATCTCTTCTTAGGGAAAATATATGCTAAAGTAAACTGTGGAGAGTAAAATAGCTGAACAACACATTCAGCTACCACTAGAAGTCATCCATCTGCAAGCATCCACCATGAGCAGAGAAATTTGCATGAGTGCAGAACAGGGGCTGGGAATGAAAATGGGATGGTGGCCAGAAGGACCCTACATCTGGCCTCCACAAGCCTGATGATCCCAGGGGACATGGCTATAGCTGAGGCACTAGCTGGAGCTCCTCTATCTATCTTCTTTCTAGCACTTCAGCTATGGAGCCAGCTTTGCTGGCTAGCAGCCTTGCAGCTCCACTCTTGGAGAAAACTGATTATCTGGACCCATTTCAGTCCGGCTTCAGACCCGGGTATGGTACTGAATCTGCCTTGGTCGCCCTGTACGATGACCTGTGCAGGGAGAAGGACAGGGGGAGTGCGTCCCTGTTAGTTCTCCTGGACCTTTCAGTGGCTTCGATACCCTCGACCATGGTATCCTTCTAGACAGGCTTGCGGGATTGGGGGTCGGAGGCACTGCTTTGCAGTGGTTCTGCTCCTATCTCGATGGCCGGTTCCAGAAGGTGGTGCTGGGGGACTATGGCTGTGCGCCATGGCAGTTATGCCATGGAGTACCGCAGGGGTCCATTTCGTCCCCCGTGCTATTTATCATCTACATAAAACCGCTGGGAGAGGTCATCAGGAGGTGTGGGCTGCGGAAGCATCAGTACGCACCTCTCCAGGTGAGGCACTGGCTGTACTGAACCGGTGCCTGGCTGAGGTAATGGGCTGGATGAGAGCCAATAAACTGAAGCTCAATCCAGACAAGACGTAGGTCCTGTTGGTAGGTGGATCGGGCTTTGGGATGGGAGACGTTGACCTTGTCCTGAATGGGGATGCACTCCCTCTTAAGGACAGGGTCCGCAGCTTGGGAGTGATCCTCGACCCAGAGCTATCGTTGGAAGCTCAAGTGACAGTGGTGGCGAGGAGCGCTTTCCTTCAGCTTTGGCTGATCCATCAGCTGCGTCCCTACCTGGAGAACGACTGCCTGGCAACAGTGACACACGCATTGGTCACTTCCCGATTAGACTTCTGCAAAGCGCTCTATGTGCAGCTGCCCTTGAAGACGGTCCGGATACTTCAATTGGTGCAGAATAGAGCTGCCAGGCTGCTGACGGGGGCTGGGCGTTGTTCTCATATAACCCCAGTCCTCCGTCAGCTCCACTGGCTCCCCAATTCAAGTTGCTGGTTATCACCTACAAAGCCCTGAACGGCTTAGGTCCTGGTTACCTAAAGGAGCGCCTGCGTCCATATATGCCCTCCTGCCCCCTGAGATCTGTGGCAGAGGCCCTTCTCCGGGAACCCTCCGTGAAGGATATTAGGAGGGTCAGTACTCGGAGGAGGGCTTTCTCTGTGGTGGCGCCCAACCTATGGAATGCGCTCCCCAGAGAGGTCCGCCTGGAGCCGTCGTTATTTGTTTTTTGGCACCAGGCCAAGACCTTTTTATTTAAACGCTATTTTAACTGTTAATGGTTTATTTGTTGATTTTAAATTGACCAGGCTGTTTCCACTATTTTATCTTATGTATTTTATTTATTTGATGAATTTTTTGTATTTTATGTGGGATTTTAATGATTGTAAGCCACCCCGAGGCTTATGCAATGGGGGCAGCATATAAGCTGTCTAAATAAAATAAATAAAAAAATAAAATTACTTTCCCCAGTGAGGGAAACCTGCATGCAGCAATGCACTAGGAAGTGCAGTCCTCTTGCACTCCACATCCCACTCTGGACAGCTTCACCTTCCCTGGGCCTTCTCCCATTTGAGGAGAGCTGTGCAGCAACCAAAGCAAAGATTAGGTCTCCAGCTGGAAGGGAGAGCAGTGTGCTAAGTAAGGCAAGTGGCCCTGACAATGCACGACCTGTGATTTGTTGCTCTTCCGTCTTTTCCTGGGTCATGTTACTCTGTTTAAGCAAAACTAGTGGAGCTGTGGCAAAATAAAGCATATGTCACAATGAAACTGTTAAGCTCTAAGATGCTACATCAGGTCACAAGTACCTAAGAAAAGCCACGGTGGATCAGGACAGAGCTCCATCTAGTCCAGTGCTCGGTACACACGGTGGCATACCAGCCGCCCACAGGATCCCTCAAGCAAAACAGGTGGAAGACCTCCTCCTGTCCAAGCTCATCAGCAACCAGTGTATTTATCTATCTATCTATCTATCTATCTATCTATCTATCTATCTATCTATCTATTTAAAGTTTTTATATGCTGTCCAAGACTAAAAGTCTCTGGACAACTTACGAAGAACAAAAAACAAAGCAACCATATACTACAAACAACACACAACGCAAGACATGCCGCAGCTGGTGAAGCACATAGCCAACAAAGCCAATGGGCACGGATGCCTCCTCCTTCAGGAAACTGTCCTGTTCCCTTTTAAAGCCGTCCGGATTGACAGCCATCACCACTTCCCCTGGCAGCTCATGCATCGTTTAACTATAGCTCTGTGAAGAAGTGCTTCCCTTTATCTGTCCTAAACCTCCCACCAGTCAGCTTCATGGAATGACCATAAGCCTGAGAGTTATGGGAGACAGAGAAACATGTCTTCCTCTCTACTTTATTCATACCGTGCATTATTTTAAAATCTCTACTGGGAAGCTTAAGATTTGGGTTAAGATCAAACTTAAAGTAATTTGCTCCCTTTAGAGGAAGTAAGAGATTGTTGGTACTTTTTAAATCACTATATAAGTTCCTTTACTTAATGCATTTTATAAAATGAACCCATCATTTCACGCCATCAATTGGATTTCTACTGGCCTGAAATTATATTAGTTCTTAGTACCTACCTAATGGGGAATAAGGAGTGCAAGTTCAGTGTATACAAAGAAGGCCCACTTAAACTATTTTTGGTGTCATGTACCTATGTTGATCAATATTTATTAAATCTAATTAAGCAGAGAGTATAGGAGTGACCAGAGAAGGATTCTATGTATCAAGTTTTGAAATCAGTTAGTGCTGCAGTTGAAAATGTGCCATCATTTTCTCAATAAATGGAAATAACAGGAAATGTAAATCCCATAAGAACGTAAGAGCCATGATGGATTGGATGAAAAGCCTCTAGTCCAGCAGCCTGTTTCCATGGTGGAAAGACCACTATGAGAAGACCGCAAGCAGGCCACGATGGCCTTGTCCCACTGATGAAATCCAGTGCTGGTATTTGAAAGCATGCTGTCTCCATTCCTGGCAGGAATATATATAGCCCTCATGACTAGTGCCTATGGATAGCATAATCCTCCATGAATTTATCAAAACCATCTAGGTTGTTGTTAACCGTTGCATCTTGTGCCATGTGAAGATATAACTCTGGCACATGATGTCACCCCAGGGTCCTGTTCCAGCTATGTTCACCTCAGTTTAGAGCTGAGGCTAATCGAGGAAGGACAAAACTGCCTGGGTGAATGATAACATAGAGTTCTTTGAATACCATGATGGCAAGTAGATGCAGGTCATAAACAATCAGGGAAAGATAGGCTTCCCCAAGTCCCTCTGTAGCTCCAGGGCATTGCTCGTTTGGGCATATGCCTGCCCCTTGTCCCAAGCTGAAAGCCAAAGGACAAAACCTCTTGCAACGGATTTGATAAGGTCTCTCTCTCCTCTGCTTCAGGTGCTGTCAGCAACTCAGGAGCTGACCTCTGCTTCCTGGGAATGTAGTTGATCTGTGGGAAAGGGTGGGGGTGGGGGGATGAAGTTGCTTCTAATGAGAACAGCAGCTTCAGTAAAGCAAACGATTCCATTTCTCACAGCAAAGCAGCCCTTGTGAAAGACATAAATCAGGAAGGCCGCTTCAAGGTGGTTGTCTCTAGTGCTCTTCTAAACTAATACAGGTCAAGACTATATGTAAGATGGCTCCAAATTCTGGCTTTTGGGCACTGTGAAAGTTCTCTATACTACCATTTGAATGTTAATAATATCCGCACTGTTCTTCTGGTGTAGCCCATCCAATGCACATGCTTAAACTTTCAGCTGGCATTTGCTTTAGGGGACTAACTATTCCACTTTTGTTGTTGTTGTTGTTGTTGGTTGCAAAGTCATGTCCGACCCATCGTGACCCCATGGACAACATTCCTCCAGGCCTTCCTGTCCTCCACCATCCCCCAGAGTCCACTTAAGCTCATGCCGACTGCTTCAGTGACTCCATCTAGCCACTGCATTCTCCACCCTCCTCTTTTTCTTTTGCCGTAAATTGTTCCCAGCATTAGGCTCTTCTCCAGGGAGTCCTTCCTTCTCATTAGGTGGCCAAAGTATTTGAGTTTCATCTTCAGTATCTGGCCTTCTAAAGAGCAGTCAGGGTTGATCTCCTCTAGGACTGACCAGTTTGATCGCCTTGCGGTCCAAGGGACTCTCAGGAGTCTCCTCCAGCACCACAATTCAAAGGCCTCAATTCTTTGGCGCTCAGCCTTCCTTATAGTCCAACTTTCACAGCCAACTGGGAAAACCATAGCCTTGACTAGACACTACAACAGCCTTATTTCAACAACTGCTTGAGGATGTATGGATTCAAATTAAGTATTTACATTGCAGTGCAGTTAGCACATGGGTATGCTGTGCTTTTACTAGGGGAGCTACTAAACTCAACTAACCAATCATGTGTGTGCTATTTTAAAACTGCTGATTATGATAGCCTCTCTGAATTTTTCTATGGAATATGAAGATATATGGAGTAAATCATTAAAACATTGAAGGTATTATATGTTCCTTATAGGCAGAATTTGATCTGAAACGGGATTCCCTGTACTTTAATGATGGCCAGAGAAGAATTGACTTTGTTCTAGTATATGAAGATGAAAGCAAAAAGGAAGGTCATAAGAAGAGCTTGCGTAGAAAACAAATGGTATGAATTGCCTTCTATTTTATGGTGCTGTTGATACTTTTGTTAACTTTCCTAGTGATTCCAGGTTTCTGTTTTCATCATGTTTCCTTACCACCTCCTTTAATTTTTAATTCACATATCATAGCAATTTCTAAAGATTCTTTTTGTCTCCACACCCACCACCACCCACACCTGCAGATGGTATAATATGATTTATCTTTTATAGAATCCCAAACAAAGATAGGGCTTGCTGTGTATTCCTTTGGATTTTCCGTGGATTGTTCTTTAGGTTTCCCAGCTGAAAATATCTTATCTCTTGAATTCAGATGGTACTGGCATGCTTCACTTCATTCTTTTGTACCTGCCACAAAGAGAAGATTCAGGCCAAGGATGAAAAAATAAGCCTTTAACATGTTATTTATTTATTAGATTTGTATCCCACCCCTTAGCCAAAATGGCTATCTGGCTGGGTTACAAAATGTAATAATAGAATAATAACAATTCACATAATAAAGCATGATATAAATTAGACAAAATACTACAAAAGAAGTCACAGTGTCAAAACACAGAAAATAAACCACAATGTATTAGCCTGCAATAAACCACACAATAATCACAGTTGTTAAACCAGTAAAACCATTACAAGGCACAGTAGCACGTTATCTTCTGCACAGATATGTAACAAAGGACAGTTGCTTTCCTTCTCTCTCATTTTATTTTCCAATAATCATGTGTGCATTCTTGTAGTAACGGTAGTAGTTCTTATTAAAGTTTCCTTTCCTCTGCAAAAAGCAATCTCAAAGGCACAGTCCTATGGCTTCCCAAAATGCTCTGAGCAACCATAGGATTTTTCCATAGGGAAAAAGGGGCATGCCCGGATGGGGATGATGGAGTCTGGGGCTCTGGAGTTCTGTTGATTCCAGCTTCCTTTCTCCCTCCCTGGTGCTAAATATAAGTGGCCAAAAATGCCTGTTCAGAGAAAATGTAGAGGATGAGGCTCATCTGCAGCACAGAGCAACACTGCCACCCCTTGCATTGGCTGTTTTGTCAGCCTAAGACTTTGGATTCTTACAAATATCTCCCACAGGGCAGTAGGACTGCACCCAAAGTGACTTGCAAATATATAGATTTAAATAGCATTTTTGGAACCTAAATAACAAAACAGTCTAAACAGATGTCTAAACTGGGTGGAAAAATGTGAGTGGCAAGGACTCCGTCTGATCATTCTGGTGTCACAAACCAGAAGTGAAAGTTCTTCACAGTAAAATGAGATACTTTCTGGATGAATAAATCACAAATGCTGTGTGTTTCATGCTTAGTTTTGGGCTGTTTGTTTAGGTTCGTCTCTGTGTGCGCACACGTGTGCGCATGTGTTTGGTATGTGTATGTCTTTTGGTCAAGAGTAGGTAAAAATGGGAGGGAAGGTCTAAACCTGAGAAATCTCCTGGCTCAGAAAGAGAAAGACAATTTAATTTAAAATGTACCATAAGAATTGTGTGTACTTAGCGCTATCTCATTTCTTTCCAAAGAGCTGCAACATTCCGTGGCAAAACATGTGCACCAGAGAGAAACATATTCACTGAGCACAGAGATTCTAGCACAGATTAGGGTGGGGTAAAATCCACACGACTCAAAATGATGTCTTAAATTACACCAAAATACCATGAAACAAGCATGTTTGAGCACACATTTTATTTGACTAATATCCTGACCAGTTCAACCTCAAACCATTTCATGAATTTCAGTTCATTAGGCTTCTGGTATGGTGCTATCTACGTACTGTTTGTAGCTGTGTTAATCAAAGTTTGAATCAATGAATGAATAATTCATTTCATGGTTTCAAAGGTTCAGGTCAAATGGAACAAGAAACCATGGATGAAGAGTCGACGGAGAAACAAATCCTGAGCTCATGTATTTTTCCTCCCCTCCCTCTCTCCTGTCTTGTACTTGGCTTTAATCTGCTTTAGAAATAAGTAGAAATAGAAATAAAGTAGAAATAATACTTTGCTATCACATCCCACCCAGAGAGCTACAGTTTGTGTTTGTCCTACAAAATACATTTAACTTCATGTACTTTACCTTAATATCCACCAATTATTCAGTTGCCCTCCTCAGGGACATGAACCACTCCTTATCAGGAGGACTAGAAGCATGTATATACAGAACAAGAACTCTCTCCTCTTTTACTGATGACTACAGAGGCACTCGAATGTCCAGCTTCTACCTAAAGAGTGATGTACAAGAGTGAAAAGACCCCGTCATTCTTTGTCTTGGCAATATGGCAACATCAAAATGATTTCAATAATATTCTCCCAAGCACAACATACAAGGACAAGAGTCTCCTTCACAGTGTTCTGGGTTTACACAGTAACATAGTAAAGCTACAAGTTGACCTGGTTTGCATGTAATGACAACCTAGAATGTGGATTTTTGCTTTACCCAACATTTACCCATGATTTGGCTGCCAGATGATCCTGCAAAACAAAGATTGTTCTTTCAGTTCTGACTTGTTCATTCCCTCCTCTCTTATCCACTCCTCCCTGTATCCCAGATACCTCTGCAGTGCTGTAGGACTGGCATATAGAGCAGCTAGGATTTTTAACCACACTTGCATGCCTCTATAGCCTGTTGAAACAACCTATGTTTCTAGGTTGGCACATAATGCCAATCCAGCTTTCATAACCCAGTACAAGAAACCACAGGTTGTCTTCCTTAGTTGCTTGTGGTTAATCATCCATAGTTAATCCTTAATTTCAAGTTTGTATGTAACAACAACAGCCCATAATCAGGTAAGTACCTGGATTATTGTTATGTGAGAACCAGGTCACTATATACTGTAAGTTCCGTTTCCATAGTGTGAAAACACTGATACCAGACTCCCTTCCATTTTTATTGCTCCGTGTGAGGTATCTACAGTTACACTAAGCATCTTCTATTGAGTAGGTTAGCTTTTCTATCTGGATAAGCATTTAGTGGTCTGTGTTACATATGAAACTATTCCTTATAATTCAGTATATGTTATTTTATTTTTGTTATTATATATTTTATAAAAGGTGGCATGAGCTTTTAGCCTTCAAGAATGAAGGCTGCTTCACATCACACCCCTGCCCACCACCTATATTTCCAAGAGCAATGTCCAGTCTCAGCTGCCCTGTTGGGAGGTTGTAGGCGGCACAAAATTTCCGTCTGTTGTATGTATTCATTTTAATTTTGCATATGCCCATGAAATATTTCGTAAGGACACCTTGCCAACCAGTGATACAGGAAGAAAGCCAAGTTTTCAATCTAGTCTCAATAATAAGAACAATGACATTGAAAATGATGTGTTAATTTTGCTAAAAAATCAAAACCTCATTTTATGCACATTTGGGTTGAAAAGTTGGATTGATCAGGAACATAAGTTTCACCATTTTCCCATCAATTTGAACAGAGGAAAAGGCAAGCATATGAATCCAGCCTGATCAGCCGTGGTTTACAGCTTGAAGCAACGAGATCGGTGAGTACATTTCGCTTTGTACTTGTTGAAAAAATGTGAATTGATGCATCTAAAAGGAAAGAGGCTGGATTGATATCTATTGATATGTCACTTGAGCTTTTGAAAGCAGGCTATACTGAGAGCAGAAAGTATAAGAACCAACTCATTCACTTCTTAATATGCTTTTTCTCGGGTTTGGGAATCTGGGTGACAGTGATCAATTCAGTCTGATTCAAATGGATTTAGTGCACTGAAACTTGTTTGACATATTAAGGCCAAAATGGGTCCCTTTGCTTCCAGCATTGTGCTATATACTTGAATGAAAATATTCCATTCAATCAACATTCATCGCAATAGAGGGGAAAACCAACCCTTACAAGAGTTCTGTGAGCATGTACATCTCTAGTGCATTAATTTGCTATCATCTGCATCATCACATTCCATTTATATCTTGTCTTTATTCAGCATAGTGTACATTTGCAGTGTTCACAGCATATATTTATCTGATAATCTATTCCTTCCAGTTTCCCTGAATTAGGAGCTCACTTTCCGTCTCCACTGGTTAAGCTGTTGTGGAATAACTCTACAATCACTAGAAATAAATTTGCATATTTTAGCTTCCATAACTCCTTTATGTTGTTAATCTCTGATGAAAATTACACTGTAGTTCACTTATGCATAACAATCATGCCTGCTTTAGCTATCCATCCAAGGCTCTTGCTACATTTTACAGCATGCAAGTTCCGAGATATTATGTAGTTTGGATAATGGTGAGGTGCATATATCACAGGTAGCTCAAATCATAGGCTAGTTATAAAAAGAAAAAGCAAATCACAGTTTATATCCAGCTTGGTCATATTTATGACTGTACACCATACATTTTATGTGTGTTTCATCAACTGGCTATTTTCATCAATCAAAGCATTCCAAACAACCATCTTGCTCACTGATGCGAATTCATGGTCACAATTTGTAATAGGACCTTTTTCTGTTGTTATTTATTTGACTTTCCACGGAAAGTGTTTGACAGCTATACTAGCTTAAAACAAATCAATAAAATGTCCCTTTAATATATACTTTATATTTCTTTCTGGTGATATCTTATCACTTCTATCAGCATTTCCATGGAGCTTAATTTGTATCAGTGATGAGACTCACAATCTATCTTTAAGCAAGGTCTTAGCCCCCAAATTTCATCCTTTTCCTTTCTTTCATATCTACTGGTGAGGTAAGTGATGAGACAAAAACCACAGTAGAGACGATAAGGCTTCCTTTCTTTCCCCTTCATCAGGATGCTTAGTAAACTCTATCCTAAACTTAATGGACCTGGGTCAAACATGCTGGACTAAACTAGCCTGGACTCTGGGAAAGTAGGTTTTCCCAGGAATCCCTGTGTTCCTGGGTCCCATCATGCACCAAATGAGGCACAAAAGGTGGCGGTAAATAGCATCAGCCTCTGCTATTATGCCTGCTCTGCAACCAGTTAAGTTTAGAAGACTCAACAGAAAAAGAGGAAGGAGTGGCAGGCAGCAGTTGTGGGATGGGGATAAGTACAGTTCAAGGCAAATAAGAGCCTAGACCCAAATTTGGAAGATCTGGGCTTAACTCATATCGCTACATTTTTCTCCTTAATCCTCAGTCATTGTCCTCTCTTATGATAAAAATCCCTATTCCAGGAGGGCCAGGGCCAATCAGGCGTTCCTTCAAATTGTTACCTGGCAGGTACAAAGGGGGCAGGGTTGCACCTGTCCTAGGGAAGAGGCAAAGCTAGTACAGTGCCAAAATCTGTCCACCAGTTTCTTCCTTCATGAAATGTTTATTCTTCCATACAAGAGGCTGCCACTGTTCCACCTTCTTTCCAGGGTCTTCTTGTGGTTTTTGAGCTTATCTAATATTTATTTATTATTATTTATTTATTTATTAAAACATTTTTATGCCGCCCCATTCGCCGAAGCCTCGGGGCGGCTTACAACACTAAGTTAAAATAATTATAATATAAATTAAAAATATAAATATTAAATTAAAAATACAAAAATACAGTATAAAATAAGTGCAGAATAATAACTGCACTATAATAACTGCAGAACAGCCAAAGATGCTCGCTCGCACTCGCTCGCTCTCTCTCTCTCTCTCTTTCTGTGTGTGTGTGTGTGTGTGTTCTGTTTTGAGGTTCGAGCTCCCCAGCATTCTTCCGCTACTCTTCCAGTACTGTCAGTGGAGGAGAGCATCCCATTAGATCATGCTCAAAATTTCAGATGTCTGAATGGATTTAAGAATGGTTTGAAACAGAATGAAATATTTAGCAATAATAACTTAATGTCCGTTCACTGTAGGTCTCAGATGAAAAGCTTGTCTTTGTAAAGGTACACACACCTTGGGACGTACTTTGCAGATATGCCGAGGTCATGCACATCAAACTGCCCCTGCAGCCCGACGACTTGAAAACTCATGACTCAGCATTTCACTGGATTAGTAGATTCTTCAGTGTGGATGCAAACATCATCAAACCAGAGCAGGAGTTTTTTACAGCTCCATTTGAAAATGATCGTTTGTCTGACTTTTATATTCAGGACAAGGACACGTTCTTCAATCCAGCAACAAGAAGCCGAATAGTAAGTCTCAGTCACAAAGACTCTATGTTTCAGTTCCTGTCTAGATGACTGTTTTCTCTTGTTATTTTAAACAATGAAATAAAAAGTGAAGAATGTGATCCAGGGTACAATCAAATACTAGGGAAGAATCATGAGAAGATCCACAGTTCCATGGATAAATACACCACACTGAGAGCCAGTGTGGTGCAGTGGTTAAGAGCATGGGACTGGGACTCAGGCGATCTGGGTTCTAGTCCCTGCTCAGCCATGGAGTCAACTGGGTGACTTTGGGCCAGCCACAGACTCTCAGCGCAACCTACCTCACAGGGTTGTTGTTGTGAGGATAAGATGGAGGAGGAGATGTAAGCTGCCTTGAGCCCTTTGTAGGAAAAAAGGCAGGATATAAATTGAAAAATAGATAGATAGATAAATAAATAAATAGGAGCTTTGCATGCTACAAGTACTTGGTCCAATGCACAGTATTTTCAAGTGGCCCTGATTAAAAATACTGTCCAAAATTCTGGAGAACTGATGTCAAGCAATGCAGACAGTCCTGAGCTAGACAAGCCAGTGCTTTAAATTCAGTATAAGCAGCTCCCTAAATTCCTGTGGCCGCTGTCTGAACTCTTCACTTTCTGCTGGATTCACTGACACATTTTTACTCCCACAATTTCTCTTGGCCTTTGTCAAGTACATGTTCACATGAGCAAATGATGTCATGTGTGGGTTGTGACTCACAGATATTGGTCTCAGCAGTTTCCCCATCTCTGAAATATATTTCCAGAATCACAAGATACTGTTGCTCAAAAGAGTGCGGTGTCAAGAATTACAATGAAAGGAAATACAGTGTTGGACTAACCCTTGACACAAATCTATTCCTGACAAACTGAATAACAGGCCAGGGATAGCAGAGTCATAATGGATGGTGCCATCCACATGAAGGAAAGATTTATACAACCTTTTATACATTCTGCAGTTTTTTAATACAATAATTGTTGGCAGGGACTGAGGTGGGCTGCGGGAAAAATCACTCAGTTAAAGAAACCACTTGATCCCTTCATACCTCTGTAGCAAAAAGAATGTTGTAGTAGGCAGGCCCAGACATTTAGACATGTTGACCATACTACATAGCTGCTTCTGTTTATAAACTCACAGCAAATATTACCCAGACATTTTCATACCCCTGTTAATCCAGTGTGTAAAATTGCTCATTACAGCAATGTGATAGCTGTAAATATGATTATCACATGGTCCTTCGGCCATTGGTCACTCCCTGGGAGATACACTATTTATTCCAAAGAATAAGCAGAACGTTCACACATAATATGACCCTTGAATTTGATTTATATAGAATCAGTCTAGGGTACCATGGTCTTGACAATCCATATTTCTAGGCAACTTTACTTCATCTTCTGACTTTCCCTTGCCTAATTCTTATAGCTCTAGTGCGTTCTTTGCTAAGTAAAAACCTTGTTGATTTTTCAGGCTTATTTCATTCTGTGCCGTGGGGAATATGCTATAAGAGACAATGTTAAAAAGTTTGGTATCAATAAGCTACTGGACTCTGGGATCTACAAGGCAGCTTTCCCACTTCATGATGTAAGTCCATTTTTTAAAAAATTCTTGCACCTTTGAAAGGAATAGGTACACTGAACAAAAGACTCTAAAGATGTCAATAGAAAAATATTAACTGCCCTTTTATAACCATATTCCAGATTGCGCCCAGCTGTTTCTTAAAGTACAGCTAAGTTGCATCAATTTATATGAAAGGCTGCAAAGATAGACAAAAACAAAGTAACACATTTTATACATGGTTTAAGAAAAATCACTGCATGACTTTTGCTTTTTGGAAGTTTAAATCTACAATATAAAACCAAAGGAAAAATAGTAAAGAATTAAACATACCGTAGCATATTTGAAACAACCAAAGCTGAAAAAAACAACATGCTTCAGAAAATTAAAAACCTTCACCTGGTATAAAAATACCTAATGTGGGTGCCAAGCATATAGTGAAGAGGGCATTCCACCATTGTGGTAAGAAGTCATTAGCTGATGGTATCCCAGGTTCTAAAGAACATTTTTCATGAACATGCCTAGCTTGTCAGAACCTGGATATTCTTAGCACCAGATTTTTTGTCCTGATGGACCCAGTTGGTGATGGTCCTTAACGTAAAACACTACAACCTGGTTACCTGAAGGAGCGCTTGCGTCCATATCTGCCCTCCCGTCCCTTGAGATCAGCGGCAGAGGCCCTTCTCCGGGAATCCTCCGTGAAAGATATTAGGAGGGTGAGTACCCGGAGGAGGGCCTTCTCTGCAGTGGCACCCCACCTATGGAATGCACGCCCCAGAGAGATCCACCTAGCGCCGTCATTATTTGTTTTTTGGCACCAGATCAAGACCTTTTTATTTAGAAGTTATTTTAATTGTTAATTATTGATTGTATTTATTGGGTTTTTATGCTTGTGCTGAGATGTTTCTGGATTTTTAAGGTTAATTATATGATTGTTTATTTATTTTGTAAGCCGCCCCGAGGCTTTTTGTGAATGGGATGGCATAGAAATGTTCTAAATAAATAAACCTTTTCCCCAGATGTTCACATCCAACTCTGGTGTGCACCATTGAGCCCAATGAGAAGCTAATCACTTACAGCACTCCAGTAAAATGTAAAAGGGCTGAGTGTCATTATGTTAACTCCTCCAACTGAACTTTTCTAGTATTTGATTATTACAATTCCACATTGGTAGCTTTTACTCTGAAAAGTTTATCAGCCTTCTCCTTGGAAAAAAGCAAGCAGAAAGTCTCCACTCAGCAGCAGGGTGTCAGAGTTTCTCCAGCAAATAGCATCACTGTTACAAAATACTACACACACACTATACTGTATACAAAATACTACCCTGTTCCCAGCAAAGGTTACAAGATACTATGCACACAAATACACTTAGCTTGCCAAAAAGTAGGCAGAAGAGTAAGCAGGGGTTCTGTAGGGAAAAGCCTTTATCTCCAACCATCTGCTGATTGTGCTGTTGTTTGGGAAAATGCTGGGAAAAGCCCAAACTCAGTGAGAGTTAGGGAGGCAAACACTTTGCTGGCAGAGTTGACTGCCTCCTCTTTTACCATGAATTGTTGGCTAAGTTTATCCCCTGCATCCTTCTTTAAGAATTTCATGCTTGCTGCTCCCATCTTTCCATTGCAACAGCAACATCTAAGTCATAAAGAGTGACTAAGAATGCTTCAAGACAAATGATTCATGTTTAGGCAAGGAAATTGAACATGAGCCGCTTTTAAAAAGAAGGGAATTGTATTTTTTTAGGAGTGGAGTTCTTTAATGATCTACTTATTGGGGGGAAATTCTGTTTTACAGTCAAGATTCAACTACCAGTCGGAAGATCCCAACTGCCCAAATGAACGGTATCTGCTATACAGAGAATGGGCCCATCCTAAAAATATTTTAAAATTGCAACCATTAGATCTAGTCAGGTAGGTATTAAAAGGCATCTTAAAGACTGAAGGGCCAATTCAAATGCATGCATATTTTCCCATCTCTTTGAATAATGATAGAAGTAGAAAATCAAACAGGACAATTGTGTACATGTGCATTTTGCTTAGGTTACGCATACATGTCATCATCAGTACTAAGGATCTACACACACATGTATTACTGTATACAGATATTTGTATTTAAAAACCATGCAACATTTGAGGGACATGGTTTAGTCACCTTATTTTTTTCTTTGACGTTCCTCAGAGATTGAATGTTTGATCTTGAATTATCATCCAGCTCCTCACATGTTCAAAATACACATCTTTAAAATATACAAAAGACTATATATACTAATTTGTAAATAAGTTATTTTATTTTATATATTTGTAAATGTAATTTACAACACTAAATGGATTTCAATCAAGGTAATTGCAATGCCTGGTTGTGAGTCTTAATTGCATGAATAAATTAATATTTATATCCTGCCTATCATAATGGAATATCATGAATGGACGTATGTTTGAAACAAATTAAAAATAAAATTGTAGAACTGTAATAAAATCAACTTTCTTGAGAGCAGCTACAAAAACCTACTTCTAAACAAAAATGTTTTACATTACCTTTTCTGAGTTTTAGCAAAAATCCAGGGAAATTAGAGGAGAATCCACTAAGGATATCTCCCTCATTGTCCAAATGTTAACAAACATGGAAATCTTATTATGGGGCTCTTGGACAGGCCACCTTCTGGGAAAGGTCTCGTTTTATTAATATGTGTGATGAGCAGAGATTTCGCAGGTGAAGTCTTTTCTGTTCCTGCTATCTCTCTTCTCTGAGAAAAATGTCCTCACACAATAGCTAAAGCTTTTACTCAAGTGTGGGGGAGATGGACTTATTACTTCTGAGCGATGCTTGTGGTCATTTTTCAACACAGAGGAAAAGGAGGCCTCCAGGCTAAAGTACCATAAGGAGTCTAATAGCACAAAAGTGATGGCACCGCAGAATAATTCATACACCACAAAATTGCTTTTCCTAATTATCTGGAGTAAGAAGAAAGACAAATTCATTTTTATTCTCAGAGGATGTGTTTTATCCACAGGAAATATTATGGTGAGAAAATTGGAATCTATTTTGCTTGGCTGGGATTCTATACTCAGATGTTAGTTCTGGCAGCAGTAGTTGGACTCGGATGCTTTTTGTATGGATATTTTACAAAGGACAACTGCACTTGGAGGTAACCTTTAATGTTAATGCGGTGTGTGTGACTTAATACTGGATCATAAGTCCCAGGGGGCATTCACTGGGTCATTATCGGATAAGGATTTGTTCTTCACCTTAGATATACTAAGGTACAATCCTAGAAACACCTGCCTAGGAGTGAGTTCAGTTGGGCTTAGTAGAACAGGCAGAACAATTTTATGGGACAGAGGAAGGAAAAGTAAGGTGTTGGATCATCCACCATTTCCAAAGCCTTCACGCTCATGACAGCTCTGGTATACCAAGAGATGATTTTGTCTTCACTGGCGGATCTTTTGTTTTGTTTTTGCTTCCTCCCCAGTGGGTTTCAGCTGGAGTTTCAGGCTGACATAAGTGAGGAGACCATTCCCAGAATGTCTCAGGGAAGGAAAGGTAACATAAGAATATAAGACCACTATGCTGGATCAGGCCAAAAGACCTTCTAGTAGTCCAGCAATCTCCTCACATGATGGTCAACCACCTGCCTATGGAAAACCCGCAGCTAGGACATGAAGATCTGTAGGTCCAGCAGAAGTAAGGTTGCCTCTTGGCTTCCTCTTCATCCTGAATGCCCCGTTTGGGGCCTACCCTGTGCGGAAACAGCACCAGCAGCAGATCCTTGCATATGGAGCCTTCCATAAACATAAAGGGCTGTCAGGTTAGCTGTGCCATTCTGCCTGTAGTGATCTGCTCTGCCACCCCATCTTGACCCACCATATGAGAAGATCTGTAGGTTAGGACTGTGTTTTGTTTTTATTAATTACAAGCACACATGCCTGGTAGTTACTTCATAACAATTCACATGGTAGTTATAACAATTCACATAAGGTCAGGTTATTTCTAGTTTTCAAAATATCTTTTGAAAAGTGATGAAAAGATGCCACCCTATATGTCCCTATACAACCATTTTCAATGTGAAAGGTTAAAATATGCTAAAGACACTGATTTCCAGTGAGCGCTGTTATTAGTGCTCTACAAATTTCCTGTTTTCTAAGACCAATTTTCTAAGCTTTCCTTTTCTCTCTGCCCTTTGTAACACTAATAATAATTCATTTGATATTTTTAAGAATTTCATTTTGGATATATGATAAAGAGAATTATTAGCAACTTTCCATCTAAATGAAATTAATCTAGCATTCTGCTATGAAAACTAATGATTCAATAGGAACAATTTGATTTATGAATGAAAATTTTCATGGGATGTTCATGACAAATAAAGTAGAATCAACACTAACAAGAAACTACAAAGGGAGAAATCAATGACATTACTCTAGACAAAATGTTTTAGGATAACAGTCCAGGAGCCACAGAAAATAAGTTATGCTAGTCCTTATATCTAAGTCCAAGCATGTGTTCGTAATCCAAATGAAACAAGCAGTTGTAAGGAATGTAATCTGGAACAAAATAACAGTGAAAGGAGAAAGGGTAAAGTACCACTGAACCATTTTTCCTGCTCACTTGTCCAGAACTTTAGTTTCTTGTTTCCAAAGAGGCAATTGAGTCAAAAACAACTGCTATGTGTAAAATCTTTCTGTTGAAGTGACTGTGAAGTGGGATATTAAGGTTAAAGTAGACATTACTTTTAGAATGTACCTAGCAGATATTCCTTCCATTGTACTCCAAATTAAGCACAGGGAGCCTGACCAAGATCAGGGGATAGGGTGCCTCTAATCCTCTCCCACTTTTTGTGGTCCTGTTCTGGACTGGACCAGCCCATTGCCAGATAGTCATCCATGAAAGCAAACAGATCCTTATTTATCACTTACTCTACAGCAAAAACACTCAGCAGCTTGTTAGGTATTTAAATGCCTACTTACCATAGAAACAGTCAGAAGGGGTCTCTTGGGCCATCTAGTCTGATCTCCAGCACCAGCTCCTTCTGGTTGTCTCTTGCCCACTGCCACAGCCTGACTAGATCCTTCTGGATCTGGATCACCTGCTTGTGAGTTATAGCCAACACCATCCCACCTGCAAATTTACTCAGTAGACTAGTTATCCCCTCTCTAGGTCACTGGTAAATTTTAGGGGAATATGGTAAGGAGGAACAATGGTTTATGAAAGCAGTTAATTTAGCCATCTGTTTATCCAATTACAAGATATATGTGAAGGATTGCCCCTTTTTTCTTTTTTAGCCAGGAAGTATGTGACCCTAACATAGGAGGTAAGATCATCATGTGCCCGCAGTGTGACAGAGAGTGTACCTACTGGAATCTCACAATCACTTGTGAATCATCCAAGGTATGAGTATTTCCTTTGACAGCATAAGCCAACAAATTAATTTTTGTAGCATGATGTTTTGTTTTGTATTAAAATTGCAAGTACACACAACAAAAAGGAAGAGCTCCTTTTAATAATACAGTGCACCAAGATGAAAAGAAAAATGGGGTAAATGGAATTTGCCAATTTCTTAGTATATCATGGGTGCTTTTGCTGGGCAGCTTCATGGAAAGCAGACCTGAGGAAGGCCTATTATGTACTGAAAGAATCTGGACATATGAAAGTGCAGGTGGTCTTTTCGAGACAATCAGATTATTTTGAAATTGAGAACACAACAAGGAGTTTCAGAAAAGGAGAAATCAGCTTTATTTATTTTTAATTCAATGTACTTAACACTTTAAAAATACCTGTAAGTCATTACAAGTAGTACAAGCACTACCATTTCTGGGCAAAATTAGTGAAGACTAATTAGTAAAGTTTAGTGAACCCAGGATCACCCCAGGAAGCTGTTTGCTTCCCAGGATCCCAGGACCCAGGATCACCCTAGGAAGTATTTCTTCCCACAGTTCATAATTAAACGATGGCATCCAGTGCCACAGGAAATAATGATGGACACCAATTTGGATGGCTTTAAAAGGGGATTGGGCAGATTCCTGAAGAAGAAGGCTATCAGTGCCTATCAGCCTTGTTGGCCATGTGTTACCTTCCTTATCAGATGCAGACACCAGTCACTGTAGAACTTGAGCAACTGGAACTGTTGGACCCATCATAGCTTGATGGATCCTGTGGCAGCTGGCTTGCAGTGTGGTCGGAGTGCTGGACTGGCTGGATGGGCCTTTGGTCTGATCTTGCACACCTTTTCTTACCTTCTTGTGTTCCTATGACTACAATTATTGAAGAATGTTTTTCTCTCCGTGGCCTCCCACTCATTCACAGCAGTCATGCCAACATCTCCTGCATTATCTTCCTGAATTCCATGAGCCAGTTCAGTTTTGTTCCAATGAAGTAACCATGGCAAAAACGGACATTCCATTATCTTGAATTACTGCAGTATATCTGTGCCCTCTTCCTGCACAACTGTGTGCAAAAGAAAGTAATTGTCTGATAACAATTTGTGGCAAGGCTGACCTTGGCTCAAAACAAGTTTCTTCTCCTTCACAAATAGAGCAGTATGGTGCTAACATATCTTTTCTCCTCATTTTAAAGTTTGCAGTAAAACCACAATATTAGGATATGAAAAGGGTAAGTGGGAGGAAAAAATGAATAGATCAGAGGCTGAAAGTCATAATGTCTATGTATTATTCAATACACCAAGTCGCGTTACACATTTTGTGCAATAGTTTTATCACATTATGGCTTGTTTTGCATTAGTGGATCTTTATTTAAAGTTAAGAATCCAACAGCTGGAACTGCTGATCTGTTATATTAATTTTACAGACTAATATACATTACCATCTAAAAGTCCTTGCCATCACACAAGGAACATACCGTTTAAATCCAGCCTGAGGCACTTCATATGCATCCTTGGTTTTAGTTTGCTGTGCTTTTAAATGTATGCATTTAATATTCCTAATGCTCCAATAAGTGTTCCTCTTTTTGGGATGATATGTAAGAATTTTTAAATTCTCTTTATAGTGTTCTTGGACATGTTTTAACAGTACAGGTACTGAGTCAGTGTTACATCGTCTGATTTATACAATAGTTAAAGCACTGAATATGGGAAGTTTCTAACCACAGCACGTGAGAGTCGCTTATCCAGATGACTTGTCCTGCAGCAGCGGGCCTCACACCTACTGCTGCCACTGGGTCACCACTTTCTTTCCCCTTGCAAACAGACGGTCAGAGCCTTCCGCTCACAATGGCTGTGGGACAAGGAGATGGGAAGGACAAGGAGCACTGCCTGTTTGGCTTTGTACACATGAGCCAGGAATGTCAAGTGCAAAGTTCAAAGTGCAGGACATAAGAAAGGATCTGCACATGTAAACTTGCTCCAGTGCATGGGTGCACCGCATAGAAACATGCTGCACACAGCAACAAATGAGAATGTTATTTTTTCTCAAGATCAAGGAACCAAGGTTCAATTTGGATGCCAGGAAGTACTTCCTGACAGTTAGGACCCCGAGGGTATGGAATGGGCTTCCATGGGGGATGGTTGAGGCCCCATCAGTGAGGATGTTCAAGGATAGGCTAGACATGCACATGGTAGGCATGTCCTGAGTGGAGTCAGCTGAAGCCGGGGGTCAGACTAGATGGCCTGGGAAACCCCTTCTGACTCGCTCAGTTTCTATGTTTATGTTTCTGTGTGGAAAGATAAAACATCAGTATGTGTTAACCTATTTTCCCTCTTAATCTTTTCCAGAAACTGTGCATTTTTGATAGCTTTGGAACACTGGTGTTTGCAGTATTTATGGGGATATGGGGTAAGCTAATATGTTAGTTTTGGGGTTATTTGGTTAATGCAAATCAAATCAAAGTATGTTTATAACATACCTATATTTGCAGCAAAAGTGTGGTATTGAATTATGATGAAGATCGCGTATAGACATCATAAAATGGGTGACTCTGCTTATTCATGGGGGGAGGAAAATAGAGACATGATTCATCGCCCTGCTCAACACAGCTTCGTACACAGGAAATTATTACCATAACACTCAGATAAACCTCTTTGCACTTCCCCTTTCCTAGTTTTCCCTCACCAGCATGCCAGGAATAGGAGGCGAGGGAACAGTGCGATACTGCAGGAAGTGGTCTGCATTTGGACGGCAGGATAACCCACTGTGGCTAGTTACCCTCCATGTGTGGTTGCATCATTGGCTCCAATGGCAATCCCTTCCTGTAGTGGAAGCTACAATCAAGGAGTATTTTTCTAAAAGGAAGCAAGCAAGAACGGGTATACCAAATGGCAGAGCAGGCCACAAATGACTGCAATACTTTTATTTTTATTTTCTGTTGGACTACAAGAGCCCTACTACACCTGTTCCTGAATGACATTGCAAGAGAACAATGCCATTCGTACAATCCCTGTCTGTTTTTTGCACTAGACCAACCCTAGAGTGAGCTCACTTTTCCTGTTGTTTCAGAGTCACTGGAGTACCACCATTTAAAAGGAGCTGCCAGTTTTGAGAGCTAGCTGTCAAAACTCTGATTCGTTTTAAAAGTTGGTCACACTTTTCCATGTTCTCATGCGCCTACAGTCTTGCACTGAACTGGAAAAGGGAGCATTCATTTCTAGACAATTGAATACATTCTTTTGGAGGGTTTTGATGTCACACCCCAAAGGGATGCAGGGAATGTTAGAACGAACGGTAGACTCATAGACTGAACCATTTCAGACTGCAGAAATATCATTTTTAATGTTCCCCCACTTAAAAAAAACCCAGATGAAAATGCATGTAATAAACTAGTACATTGCTTCCCTGTGTTAGAGGAAATTGCTATAGTGGTTAGAAATATTACCATGTTTTCTCTTTTCCTCATTTAAATGATTGATATGCTAGACATTGCATGCAAGTGCTAGGGACATCTTGTGGTAAGAAAAATAATTCCTTACCCAGAATGTTCCAATTGACTAACGTTGTATTCAGTGGTCAAAGTAAGGTTGTTTACCCAGAAAGCATTTTGTTTCACTGAATTTATGCCAATTACGAGGTCACTACAGCTAACATTAACTGCTGCTTTTTAATCAGGGTACTTACTTGCTTCTGATTACAACTAATGCTATACTGAAATCTAATTGCACAAAATGTGCAGGAACATTTAAACTACCATTAGCACTGGGTAAAGGTTAATATACAAAAAGGTGCTGTCATAATATTTTAGCCAAACATTGCAAATTGACAAGCACAAACCAGCTTTTAGCATTAAAAGTGCCACAGCTCAGTCTCCAAGGCTTAATGTTAAAAGGCACCAAAACAATATATTTTCTAAAATATTTACATTTAATGTAATGCAAAGCTTTTTCAGTAATGAACTATTCAGTAATGTACTCCGCAGTAATGCACAATTCCTAAGTATATATGAGTAATGACCATTTAAGAGCTATAACTTAAGATGCAATCCTTTATACATTGAGCCAGAAAGAAGGCCTACAACTTCCAATCCCCCCAGCCAGGCTCAATGCACCATGCTTTGATATACTGTGTAACATTTTCACTGAATACATGAATTTTCAACAACCAAGATCTGAGAGGCAGCATTTCAGAGCATCCTCACTCCAGTGTTTCGAGAGGTAGCATGCAGCCTGTGAGCATCAAACCCTCACGAACGGCGGACTGTGGCTATTGCAGGTGCCAATCATCATTAAGACCAATACGGGCAATGTGCCTGAGTGGAGTGGGTGGGATCCCATATCCTTGTTCTGATTCCTTAAGGAGTCATCTGCACTGCATCAGCAATACTGCTTATAATCAATGCTGAAATGTTCAAGAGTTGGATGCCACATAGAAGCATATTAGGCCAAAATGCACCCAGCAAAAAAAAGAAAAGGGGGGGGGGACACCATTATCCAGCAGTGCTGCAGAGATGCTTTGTTGTATATGGTAGATGCTAGAATTATTTATCTTACTAGAAGTAGTGAGGTGACTGTTTGGTAGATGTTATGGGGAACTGAATAGACATATGTCTTCTTCCTATTACAGTTGTGTTCATTTTGTTACAAATGCTTATTGTTAAAGTACATATTACTCTCAAATACGAACTCTCTATGGCAGTTTGCGTCACACTCTGGAGTTTGTCAGAAGCTTACCAGGGGTTTCTTGATTAAAAATCAGTTCCAACTGACAAGTTTGCCTGAAAGATAAGCTATACTAAGACTCTTAACCTGCAATATGCATCTACAGGAGAGCATTAGGTATATATTAGCACATGTAGCAGAGATTCAAAAAAGGCAACAGGAAGTACAATAGGCCTGTGTCCAATATAGAGCAAGTGTGTATTTTAGCGTTCACCATAATTTTGTACAATGAGCTGGGGTCCCTTAAATGCAAGCTTACTCGGGAAGGGCTCCATGAAGTTTCTAACAATTCTGCAGGATGAATTTCTGGTTCTCATTCATAGTATCCAGGTTAGCAGCAAGAATAAACACTAATGCCTTCTTTTTACTGTGTGCATAGAGATGACAATGCATTGAAGAAGAAAAAAGGCAAATACTTGTTTTTAAACAAATAGGGTTCATTATGTCTTCCATAAAACTTGGTGCAGTTCCTGTAGACAGTAAGTTTTTAATCCATTTCTGCAGAGAATAACAGAGAAAGCTACTCTTGAACAATGCCCATATACTGTAGTACAACCTGTTTTATTTTTTGGTCAGTTACTTTGTTTCTAGAGTTCTGGAAACGACGTCAAGCTGAATTGGAATATGAATGGGACACTGTTGAGTTCTTAGAGCAAGAAGAACAAGTACGAGCAGAGTATGAAGCAAAATGCCATCATGTAGTAGTGAATGAAATTACACAGGTAAGGATTTTTTTAAAACATTTTTTAAAAAATTTAGTTTTTTTAGATAGCAATAGATAGCAGAAATATTCTGTGTAAGTTAGTAGAATCCATATATAGTGAAATACATATGCACACACATCTGTAACTTCAAGGATGCGAAGTAGAATATTTGATAACAATCTCAAAGGAAAACTTGGAGAATAGATGAATTTACTAGGTCATCTCAGAGAAATAGGCCACACTACCATCCTTGATATGAAATAGCTGTTTATAGCTGTATGAGTATTCCAGTTTCTGTTATTCAGTCTCAGTCTTCAGTAGTTCAATAGACAAAGTTCAATACATAAATAAATAAAACTAAAAATTATCTCAAGATTTTCACAGAAGTCAGATTGTCATAAGAAGATAATCTTTGTCCCTTCCAGTAGCTATGTTGATTCACACCAACTTAGAAGTAGGCAACTTTCTGTAATTGAAAATACTGTGTGAATTGGGTTACTACACAGAATTGCAGAGAATTAAGGGGATGTAAAAAAAATATTTTAACTCAAGAAATAAATTCTACCTTCAGGATAGAGAGACATGAGGGATATTTTGTATTATGTATACCTGCCAGTAGTCTTATACCAAATCACTGCATTGCTCCATCCAGCTCCAAATTCTCAACATAGACTGGTAGCAGCTCCCCAGGGATTCAGACAGTTTTCCTAGGGAAGCCAGGGACTGATCCCAGAACTTCTGGCATGCAGACATGTGCTTTGCTGTGACCTATGGCCCTCACTTTGTTACATTGTGATGAGATCTGCAGGGCCCCATTGGCAGATCTCAAACTTTATGGGAGGAATATATAGGTCAAAGCCGGGGTGGCATTTTTCTTCCTAAAAAGAGGAATTGCAACATTAAAAAAGAAGGCAAAAAGATCTATATGAAATTTGCTTGTGTTTAAACACATAGATGTACATGTGTAAATAATAGCTATAAATAAAAACACAGTATATCTCAACAGAGTGGGGGAAGATTGTGACCAGGTGACCTGCGTATCTTGCTGTCTGCTGTCAAGGTGAGCCGTTTCAAGGCCCAGGTCTCCTTTCTGATGGTTCTTGATCTTTAACACAGACCAGGACTATGTAGCAGTTCAAAGTGAAGCATGTCCTCTGAAAGGTCTTCAAAGAGAGGACCATCTTTTGTAACATAGGACACATGACCACCACAGGGTTTCCTGAGATATTCCAGACCAGACTATAGGGCTTTAACAGGAAAGAAAACATTTTAAATGGACAGAAACAATTGGATTTTCCTTGGCAGGAAATGGTATGCACTTGGAAAGGATGTGCAGCAAAAGTTTGAAGCTGGCTGAATTAACTGAATATATTTGGCCTAGTGATGCCAAGCAACACAGGCTTTTGTTGAGACATGGTCTCTTTATATATGTTTCTAAATGTGTGGTTAAATTCAGATATTAATGTTTGAATGAATTATAGTTGATCTTTATAGTATATGGATAAAATCACCAGTGAAAACAAGCTGTGAAGTTATCCCTATTAAATGAGCCACCTGGGTCTGCTTTATCTTTGTCATTCTGTAGTCCAGTAGATCAAGAATATATTTACCCATGCTGGAAATCTTTCACATCACAGTTAGTTTGCGCTCAAGATCATCTTTATGAACATAAAAATACTTTTATTATTATGTTGCATTTTTCCTGTAATATCCTTTCATTATTACTCTGTGTATGAAAAACTAGATACAACCATTTGAAAAATATTTCCTTTCTACCACCACCCCTCTTTTTTGAGTTTGGTGTTGAAAAGTAATGGATATGTTTTTCTCGCTGTGATGTGCTTTGTTGCTGATTCTATAATGTTTTTCTAATAACATTTGAAAGCTTCACCTATCAATTTCACCTGAGAGAATTGCTTTTAGGCCTCACTATGGTGATTAGATACCTATTTCTTATTACATCGCAAGTATAATCTACTTCCCTTTTAAGTCAGTTCATGATGGACTAGAATGACTATTGGATGCTTGCATCTTGTGTTAAACAATGGCTAATAAGATTTACTGGCAAGATTTTTTCAAGTTGCATTATTTTCAACATTTTTTCAAGCAAAACCTAAAAAATTACTATATCTTTGATTTTTTAAAAAGGGGATTGTTCTATTCTTTTATATTTTGTAACATTTTAAACATAAAATTAAAAGCACCTTTTAGTTCTGATTCACAAGAGTCCTGTAAGTAAGGTTGCAGTTCTAAGCCCATTTACCTGCAATGAAGACCCAATGAAATTCTTGGACTACCTCCAAGTAAATGTGGTTAGGGTAAGGCTCCAAGGACTACATCTTACAATATTGTGCCAAACAAATTTGAAATGTAGTGGAATTGTTATAACCTCACCAATTCTATTTCTTCTGTGCTGAGCACAAGCAGATTTTGTCCCCAGTGGCTTGGTTGGTACCAGGGGAGAGAGCTCAGCTGCACTAGAAGAAGTTCTTCTCCCAGCCCTGAATAGTCACTGCCCACATGCCCACCTGCATCCCAGGTTCAACAAATGGAATGCAGGGCATCCATGGGCCTGATGAGGTTTATGGACCAAAGATCCTGCATTCCTCATGTAATATATAGTTTCTGGATTATGCAAATTTCATAGCCATAATTTGGAAATGACCTTCCAAAGATGTCTTTAGCTGATTCTCATTTCTCTTTTCATACATATGTATTGTGTCACAAAAAGCACAGTACAAGTATCTATAAGGCCTGGAGTTGCATCAAATGTTCACGCCAATTTTTCTTTTTTTTCTCTGAAGGGCACATATCAGAAACTGCTTTCACAAGTCCCCTCAGCTGTAAAAGAGATTTAAATGTGGTATGAGGGGCACTGCTGCTGTTTCCCTAGGACATTTTTAGCTCACTGTGTGGTTCCCCCAAGCCTCCCAAAATAAGATTTATCTGGCTGAAATGAGATTGGAGTGTCATCTTTAAACTGAAAGACTGACTAGCTAGCATGAAACATTCTGATCTGAGGAAAAGAACAAAACCCCAAACTCTCTGTTCTAAGGACCAAGTTATTAAAGTGAAAAAATTAAAGTATGTGTTTGAAATTGGGTGTCCAAATAATCCATCATTTATCAAATTTCTTCACAGCAAGAAGAACATGTTCCATACACAGCCTGTGGGAAGTGTGTAAGGATTACCTTCTGTACAAGCGCTGTCTTATTTTGGGTAAAATATTATTATTACTACTAAGCATTTATTTCGTTTCATCAGTGTGATAGATTCCGTCAAAGAACAAAGTGGCACAGCCCTGCCCAAACAGCAGGTACTTGCATGGTATAGTTCTCTCTCATGGCTGCCTCAGAATAGCACAGGACTTTGCCTTTAGAAAGTAACTGTACATGGAAATCTAACATGAGAGAGAAGGCTTTCAAGCTTCCAACAAGGAAGGTTATTTTTGGCCCAGGAGCACTTTGAAAGCAAGCTGCCTTCTAAATGTATTCTGACAGAATATAATGAAACAAGACTCTCATACCATGCAAGCACCTCCACTTTTATACTGGCCTTCAGGATTCCTGACCTTTATTATTATCATTGCTGTTCTTGAGGGGTTTTTTTCTTTTGCCCCCTAAGACAGGCTAATATACTTCTTTCTTATTCCAGACTTGCTATCTTTCTCTCTCCTCTTTTCTGTTTCTTTCTGTTACCTTCCATTGAATGTGGGCAGCCCTGCACAGCTGGATTTCTTCCTGATGGCTATATTTCTGGATTTCTGACTTCCTACTCCAGCATGATCCCCCAGACTCTGAACCCCCTTTTCATATCTTAACCCTGCTTGTGCATCATATTTCTCTACTTAATTTCTTGGATTCTGTCCGCCACGTCACAGTCAAAATTTAAAGGTATGTGTTCATATGCTACCCCTAAATGTAATGGGTATAATACAGTCAAACTTATTTTCAGCTGTTTCTTTAACAGGGAGCTCATTCCAAAATGTTGAGATTTGCCATGACTTCTGCTTGGTGAAAAGCCCACATGAAGTCATGTGACGTCCAATCTTGCAACTAGCATCTTGTGTGTAACACTGAACAAAGTAGATCCGTTGCATTTGTTAGTCAGAAGAGTATTTTATGCAAAGTAGAAACTTGTTATGCAAATCTATTCTCAAGCAAATTTCTTCTGAACTTTGAAGCCTTTGCTTCAAAATTGAGACCCTTGTTTCCTTACAGTGCATGTTTGATTAAATGCCTTGTTCACTGTCATTAAAGCCAACTGAGTTATTTTGAAGATAAATTACCCTCCTTTCTATTTTTTTTGCATACTTGTTGCTCAAGTCATGTGGTTGAATGTCACGTTACAGATGAATGAGTCTTTTTTAGCTTTTTTGTTTGCACTAGCTGAGCAAAGCTAGGTGTCCTTTCATCTTCCCCATGTTTCTGCTTTAATTAAAAGTAAAAGTTAAAAGAAATCAAGTCAACCATGAAAAAATGTCACATTGTAGAAGCAGCTTCAAAAACATAAAGGCTTTAATATATTATGGGTCCCTGTGCATGGAAGCCATTGATGTCAAGTTTTTTTTAATTAACCTAAATGCATTTTAAGGCAAATTTAGGAGTTAAAATTCACTTACGATAACAAGAAACATGTTTTGTAACAGAGAGTCAAGTATGAACAAAGCTATTTACAGCTAAGTGTGGGGTAAATATTTCCTGAAGAGGCAACCGCTGCCATTGAATAAGTTAGATATGGATAGCTAATTTTGTGTCATGTGGCAAGTGACAATGTAGACCATGATTCACAACCACCAGCTGCTTCCAGGAACTGCCAAATGCAGTCATATAGTCAGGGTACTAACATAGTTTTCTCTTACATGTCTATGACTGAATTCCAGGCAAATATAGAATTCCACTAGGGAACATCTTGATGCAACCTCTTGGCCATATCAACTGAGGATCATGGGAACTGTAATGCACCAAGGGAAGGCTGTCCTAGAAAAACAGAGAAAACTGGCTTTTCTTATGTTATAGACATTTTCTGTCCTAGAGCATGAGAGAGAAAGGCTAAAAAACATGGAAAGGAAATATGGAATAAGGGATGTTTTCTCATCTAGTGCAATTTGCTTTGTAGCCCCAGCTAAGAGGCATTATGAATTCTGCTATTCTTCTGTGTACCAGCTGGGAGATGCAAGCTAGACATTAGAGCATGTCTCCGAAAATAGGCTCTGCCCATTTGTGGGGGTGGGCATAATTTCATATGTAGCACTGGTTGAAGGTTCTGTCTCTGTTTCCCTCCCCAGAACTCCTTCATCCAGGCCACTTCTCTTTCACTGGGCCTGCCCGTTCTGCCCTTAATTTCTCCACTTCATCCCCTGCTTCATCCCCTGCTTTATAAGAAATTAGTGGTGACTCCATTTTGAAGGGCTGCTCTGCTGCCCTTCTCACTTACTGCTAAAGGAACTCATTAAGTGGGTTGTTTCAAAGATAAAACATATTGAAATCCTTGGCTTACCATCTAGTCGGTATCTGCAGGTTAATTTCATCACAGTTAAGCTTCAGAGTAGCATGCCAATGGTGGAAGAAGGAACTGACTGCCTTCTGTCAGTGCTGCCCCTATTCCAGTGCTGTAGCATCTCCCCATGTTTTTCTGGAGAGTCTTCCAGCCCTCTGGAAGAGAAGTTGTGTGCAGAATACAAAGGCTGCAGGGAAGGTAGTGGAGCAATGAACTGCATCTCTCCTTGTTTCTGTGGGATCATCCCACAGAAAGAACACCTCTCACAGGACACTCCTGTTAGTAGAAGGGAACTTAGGATCCAAGCCAATACTTGTTAAAGTCCAGGCCTGAATGTGTCATTTAGGTCATTAAATATGTCATTAAATGAATGAATTATTGTTTTCCTTTAGATTGTTGCATTACATTTATTATTGCATTGCAATTATATCCCACTTTTTTCTGGTATTTTTTATAATATCCTTACTACCCAACTGCTGTTGCCATTCTCATTTGGTTCTTTTCCTATTAGGCTATTAGATTTCTGTGCATATTTTGGTCTTTCCAGAACAAGGCTTTTATTGCCCCATCTCATTCTCAGAATTGCATGGGAAGCCCAGATATTGCCATTGTCTGTTCAAAGGCCTAGCATATGATCCCAGTACTTGTCCTGTCTTCTTCCTTACCTCAAAAAATAAAAAATAAAATAAATAAAAATCAATTAAGGAGAGAAAGCTAGAATAGCAACACAATGCCTTTTGACCAGTAATGCTATAAGCCCTCTATATTGTAGCAACCTTTCCTATTGTCCCTGGATATTTCGGAAGGGAAAAAAGGAAAATTAAAATGTGGGTTTTTTTAAAGGAAGGCAGGAAGAAAACTATGCATGTATGCACATGACACATATTAATTTTTGGTTAAGAATAAATCTGTTGTTCTTGGTTTTCAGATCCTGCTCATTATTGCCTCGGTTATTGGCATAATTGTGTACAGACTGTCAGTTTTCCTGGTGTTTTCTGCAAAACTTCCCAGACACATTAATGGGACGGAAGCAATCAAGAAGTATCTCACTCCACAAACAGCAACTTCAGTTTCTGCTTCAGTCATCAGCTTCATAATTATTATGATACTGAACATGATCTATGAGAAAGTTGCAATCATGATTACTGACTTTGGTAAGGTTACCTTGTGATAGGCTGACTGCAAAATATCCAGGGTAAATGGAGAAAAAGGTTGCATTCCTAAGTGGTAACCCATAGAATGAAAGGGCATACACTTTAGAACTTCCCCACTATTATTTTCAGTGACTTCTACCTATTTAAAATACAGACTTTCAAAATACAGACTTTCTTAGAGAACAATGAAATGACATTCAGATCCTTGTGTAAGAAATCCTTCTATATCCAGCATGAAAAATCAATTGTGTATCAAGCTGTATGTTTATGAAACAGACAAAGCACTGAAGATTACTATAATAATTCCAATTTTATGAAAATGGATCAGCACTGCATAACATATCCAATTACATTAGATATTGTTTATAAATAGTGCGGCCATTTTCTTGTAAATAAATAGAAAAGAATCACTATCTGAAAGCTTTATCTCCTCACTAAATAGCAAAACTATTGCAAGACTGCTGTTTTTCTTCTTATCCAGGTCATTTACGTTAAAGGAGCTGTCCTATTTCATTGCATCTAAAGTAGCTGTATTTTAATATTCTTTCATTTGCCTCACATCCAAATGTTATGTTCATTATGTATTGAATCTGCTAGAGGCTTTTTGCACTGAGAATTGCTGTGGGTTCTCCTGTGGAAGAATACACCCCCCCTGCCCTTTTTGTAACACATAGCTGTAGAATTAGCATAATGTCTACACCAAGTTACATAATTCCAAATAATCTAAACTATAAAGATGTAAATTATATTTAAGGCTGCAAGGCACATATAGAATTGCCTCTGAAGATATTCTCACGTTAACAATTTCTCTCTCCTTTAAACTCCAGAACTACCAAGGACACAGACCGATTATGAGAACAGTCTGACCATGAAGATGTTTTTATTCCAATTTGTCAACTATTATTCATCGTGTTTCTATATTGCATTCTTTAAGGGCAAATTTGTAGGTTACCCTGGTGACCCAGTTTATTGGCTGGGAAAATACAGAAATGAAGAGGTATGAACAAACTGTAAATTTGTATTTTTATTTTTGTCTAACTAGAGATTTTTAGGGCCAGACTAGATATTAAAATGCAGTTGTAGGTATGTACCATCGTTCCAATTGTATTGTAAAGCAAAAAATCATCTTTTTCGTAAGGCAAAGTGCCTAAATCATAAATGGGTTATAAATAAATAAACCCATAAATAAATGTTTAACCCATTTCCCATGAGCTAACTTTCTGAAGGGAAAATATGGGTTTGGAATCCAGTGGGGGGAAAGCAGAAGTTGGTATCAAATTGGAATGGAAAACACTAAGAAGAAAAAAGCCAAGCACTTTCTTGCAGCTGCAGAACTCTTACTTGCCCATTCCAAAAACTTCATTTGATTTTTGAAAGATCCTGTCCATCCAGGTAATCTTACCTATACCTGCATGTGACATCTCATTTGGACTTTAATCAAATCTGTCATTTCCAAAGGTACATTGAAAATACTGATGGTGCTAAAATTGGGCATTGGAAACTTTTGGAAAAGACATTTGTGTAGGCTTTTTAAACAAAACAACCCTCAGGTCACATGCATTTAAAAGAAATACAAATATATCAAGATATCTGCTGTGCCAACATGGCAAGATTTCAGCACTGCAGCTATATCCATTATGAACCAAAGTAATGATTTTTCCTCAGTGCCATAGCTTTCCGTGGCTGCAGGTGCCTTCTTCCCTTCCTTAGCTGCAATGATGGGGCAGTCCACACACTGGTCACCAGAATGCCCTGGGACATTTCAGCATAAGGAATGCTGAAGTACTGGTACCCCAGGTCTAAGGCATTTTAGCAAAGGGTCTGAAGGAAATGTCCAGAAATGTAATGTTCTTATGCAAAATTTTGTTGTGTCCATTCTTCAGATCTGGGTACATTTGCAGTCATCCTGGTCTCTTTTTTAAGGGATATTATATAGCTGGAGAAATTGCAGACAAGGGCAACCCAGATGATCAGGGACTTGGAGAAGTTTCCTTGCACGGAAACTGACTAAGGGGCACAACAGTGGTTGATAAAATTTTGCATGAAATGCAGAAATACAGGAATGTTTTTTCTTATTTTCTCACTTTACTAGAAACAAGGTTTGGCCAATAGCAGCAGGATATTCAGGGTGGACAAAAGAAAGCACTTTTTACACAATTCAAAAAAAATTATGGAGTTCCCTGCCACAAAGTAAGGAGATGGCCTTGAGCTTAAAGAAGCCTTAAAGCAAGATTAGTGGAATTAATGGCGGGAAGGAAAAAAATACTGTCCGTGGCTACTAGTTGTTATTGCCAGAATGAACCTTCAGGTTTTAGGAGCCGTATGCAGTGCTGAATATCAGTTGCCAGGGAAGAGCAACCGAACGCATCTTGCCTTTATGGCCTGCTGAGGGGTTTCCAGAGGCACCTGAGGAACTGGGCACTGAAGCCAGTGGCCTTTAGTCTGGCTGAGCCTGACTCCTCTCCCTTGGGACATGCTCTTTCAGGCCACCTAAGATCAATGCTAAGTACTCAGGTGCTTTGAACTTTGTGTCCCAGCATCCTTGGCACCAGCATTATCATTTTACCACTCTAGGCTCCACAGAAAGGCCTCCTATGAAAACTCCCTTAGGGTGCAGGTGTCACCAAATCCACTGGGGAAAGGGAGGGGCAGAGCTCAGAGGTGTGAAAAAAGTTTGGGGAAGTGTTTGAGGCCATTCTGCACCGGATGCATTTGGGACTCTTATGCAGTCCAGCATCAGAATGGGCTTGGAAGATTATTTTCTGATTAAGGAAGGCATTAGCCACACCCATTCCCAATCAAGAGGAAGGATGGATTTTCATCATGCAGTCATCATCTTGAATCATTTCTGATGAAGTTACTTCTCCCAAAGGGTGTGCACATAATAAATGTCAATACCATTTTGACTGCAAAGAGTACCCATCTCCTGCACTTAACTTGCCCAAACTTATGTAGGCTTCTTCTTGCACCTCAGAAGAAAGTATAAGTGAAGAAAATGAATTATTATGTAGCTGCCCATGTGTAATTTTCTCTACTTATATATAACTGGGCTAATTACCTGGGTGGAAAGGTGTTCATAAATTCTATTTTAATGTTATTTTAAGTAACATTTACAATTGCAGGTAATTTTATTTTCCTTTCCATCCTAGTGTGATCCAGGAGGGTGTCTCCTTGAACTTACAACACAGCTGACAATAATAATGGGAGGCAAAGCCATCTGGAATAACATTCAAGAAGTACTTTTCCCGTAAGTTAAATTGTGTGATAGCAGGGAGTTGAATCAAACCTGAATTCCGAAATTAGCTCAGAAAAGTTTTGGTTTTTTATTATGTGCTATCAAGTCATCTCTGACTTATGGTCAGTGTATGTTTGAAAGCTCTCCAGAATGTCCTATCCATGACAGTTTTGTTCCACTCTTGTAAATTCAAGGCGGTGGCTTCCTTTAAGGAATCCTTTATGAGTCCATCCATCTCATATTTGGTCATCTTTATCTTCTTCTGCTTTCTCTAACATGTTTGTCTTCTCCAGGGAGTTTTGCCTTCCCATGATGTGCCCAAAGTATGACAGAAAAACTTTTTATCAGATAGAATTCTGTCTGATCTTAACATCTCTCAGTTGCCTTAAATTTAAACCAGAACTCTGCATGTAACTACAAAAACCTATAACCAGTTCCAAAGAGCAATTTAATTAGCCAAAGCTCAGAAACCCAGTTTCCAGCTGCAAAAAGGGGGCTAATGCATCATTATTGGAAGATCTGATAATGGAGTTCTTATTTCATGACTAGTTTAGCTTTATTAGTCATTAAAGTTAAACAAAATCTCTATGTTTAGTTGTAATTTAGTACTAATAAGAAGTAGAGTTCATTTGGACATGAATTTCCATTTAAATATCATGGTTAATAATGTAAGATAGGACTACCAAGGGTATTCTCTGAACCTTTTCTTTTAAAGCTGTCTAACCTGCTGTCCATCATCACATTTTGTAATTTCATAAAGGAATTATGCCTTGTAGGAAAAGCTACTTTCTTTTCTCAGTCCTGAACCTACTTTAAATCACCTCCATTGAGTTTTCTGCACTCTACTATTGAAAGTGGAAAGAAAATGTCACTCTGATCTCTTCAGCCATTCATAATCTTATAAATCTTGTCATGTCCCCACTTAGTCATTTTTTCCTAAACTAAAAGAGCCAAAAACACTTGAATAATACTTCATAGAAAGGTACACCAAACATTTGACCTTTTTAAGTTCCTTTCTGTGCCTTTTGCAGATTTCTGTTGCTATTTGTAGAAGTGTTGAGCATAACAGGACAACTATTTATTTCTATTATTACATTACATTTACATCCCATCTTTTTCCCCTCTTGAAAGGAATCCAAGGATTACATAACTCCATCTCATTGTTGTTGCATGGGTGAGATTGGGCTACGTAAAACTAAGTTAGACTGGGAATGCTAAGAGGCAGCGACTGGTCCAAAGTTACCCTGTGAACTTTGTGGCCAAGTGGGAACTTCAAAACCCAAAGTCTATAGTCCATGAACGTTTATGCCAAAATAAATTTGTTAGTCTTTTAAGGTGTCTCAAATCTATTTGTTGGTTTTGCTGCAACAGAATAACACAGCAGTGCTCTGGAAATATTTAAACCAGTTAAACATGAAATAGTTCAGGGACAGAAGTGCTAAGGAGCTTTAGTCACAACGTTTCTGCTGGAGCCACTCATGATGTTTTAGACATCAGTATTCATGTGCTTACTCATGAAATCACTTGTTGCACATAAAAGGACAAAAACACAAAGACTGCACTTACTTTGGAGTAGCTCTGTGGGATTCAGTTGGACCTACATCTGTGTAGTCAAGCATGGATTTCAAGTGCACATCTGAGTGAACACTTCTAGAAAGTCAGGGACAGCCATCCATCACCATCCAGAAAGAATAGCACAATTGTTCCTTGTAACCTTCAGTTGCAATATTTAAAACAAGCTCAAAGAGTTCTTATATTGTCTTGATTCACAGCCAGTTCTGAAAATATTTACTGCAATTAGGTCTTTGGGAAATGTAGCAAAAGAAGAATATTATCTGTCAGAAAAATCTATTCTGCATCATCTTGGTTTTTAGCCCAAGGGGGCAAGAGATGGAACCCCTACAGGGTGAAAAGCCACTTCTGCTAATTATGTGAAAGGCTGATTTGAATGAGGAAAAAATAGAAACATTACTGAGCTACAGGCGCCCATGGTATAACTGGGTACAGTGCAGCTTCCTATGTTCTCTGCTCAGTTCCTCATCAGCTAAGTGCTAAAAAACTGAGTCCATCCATCAAAGCAAACAGCCAAATCCAGCTATTGCAAAGGAACAGTGACTTAACAAACATTTCCCTACATTTAGCAGATAAAATAAATCTTGTTGATCATCCAAACTTATAGGTGGCTTAAGAATCTTCTTGGACGATGCTGTGCAGCTAAAAGCTCAGAAAAAATTGTCCCACGCTGGGAACAAGACTACCACCTGCAACCAATAGGCAAACTTGGATTGTTTTATGAGTATCTTGAAATGGGTAAGGCAGCAATTTATTTCTTGTTTTATTCCAAAAATGTTTCTAAAATTATATTCAATAAATAAGACTGCTTAGAAATATTTAAAAATGGTGTCATAGATTGGATGGGTCTGACATATGTAAATACATATAGAAGAGAGAGGAGGGGGGAAAGGGGGGAGAGAGAGAGAGTAATACCAAGGGCTTCACTAGGGTTGTATGTGCAACACAGAATTGCAGACCTGTGCATACTTATGGGGGAGTAAGCTCAATATATATGATTGCACTGTAGAGGAATTTCCCTTGCCATCTTATCCATCAAATAAGTCTGTGTATAAATAGATATCCCTTGAGGAAGAGACCTCCAGTGGATCCATGCTCACCTTTCTGGAGAGGTGTGTAATCTTTCCAGGAAGAGGGAGCAACTACTTCCTTCTGTTTTCCACAGAAGCCAGCTTTGCAAAGTGCTGATTGACTGGTCTTTGTGCATTCCTAAAGCTACTCCTACCCACCCCACCAACTGAAACAATGATTTGGGGTTTTTCTTTAGAAATGGATAAGTTCTAAAAAGAATTCAAAATAAATGCTTTACCAAGCAACTTGTTAGCCAAGACTTGCCCAAAGTATTGGAGGAAGGGCAAAAATCCATGCAGATCCCACAACAGAAAATCCCATACTGAATCCTGTCGGAAGGTATATCTGCACATATCGTATGATCTGGTGAAAAGTCAGGAAATAATTTGAGCACATTTCCCATCATCTACAGTCAGCAGGGAAGCCTCCTCGTGCAACACCAAAAATCAATATATGCTCATGGAACAGTTCTCTTCATTACAAAAATGTAGGATGTCCTGCACGGGAGGAGGCTTCAGATCATACTCAAAATACCTAACTCACCTGAATTCTCCTTTAAGTTATGCATTGATTCTCCATTCTTGTAAAATATAAGCCATATAAGTCATGTTTGTCATTACCAGTTATACAGTTTGGATTTGTCACCTTATTTGTGGCATCTTTCCCACTGGCACCCCTTCTGGCTCTCATTAACAATTTACTGGAAATACGTGTGGATGCATGGAAGATCACAACACAATTCAGGCGCATGGTTCCTCGGAAAGCTCAGGACATTGGAGCATGGCAACCAATCATGCAAGGAATAGCCATTCTTGCTGTAGTAACAAACGTAAGTGCATTCTTACAGTGACAGCTCCCGGCCCTTTTACAGGCTGAATAGTTATTTTACTTGGGGAATCAGCCTTCAGTCAAATATCATGTCTTTGCTATGTGCATTTCACCAGTTGTATGAAGTGTTAACCTCACATCTTGCATCTCATGCATGGGCAGGATCCACAAAAGCCTGTGCCATAAGACATTTGCTAGGCTTTAAGAGGCTGGAGCTGGCATTCCTTCTTCTCTCACACTAGGAAGAACGTTCTTCCAAGGTTAGGTCTGCTGCCAGGCCAGGCAATTTTCCTAAATGGTTTCCTTCATACTGAAACCGAACTGATTGATCAAGGTTTCTTTAATGAGGTGACATTCCTAGAAATAATTTCGGCAGTGGCTGGAAATGCCAAGTCCAGGAAGCCTGGTTGTCACTTGTCACTGCCAGCAGTGGAGGCTCCTGCTGTAAATCTGGGCTAAACTTGATGCCTTGCTTCTTTTATAGTGTGCCCCATTTCTTTCTACTACATATATTAGTTCTGCAATAGTCACAGAACTATAAGCGGATGGTGCACAAACCAAACCTGTGACTTGTAGTTCATCCAGCAAAAGTGACATCACTATAGAGAAGCATATGTTCCCAATTTTAAGACCCGTTTTCAGTTCTCTCCATGTATAAGGAAAACTCATTATAACTTGGAAAATGAAAATCAGAATATTTTTCTACTACAATTCTCCAAAAATCAGTCTACAAATCAAAGGTGTGGATAATGCCTTATAGAGAAAAATTAGCAGTCCTGCACACAGCTCACTGCGGTACATCTGGACATCACCTGAAAAGAGCAAGTGGAAAAAGCTTAGTATGAAAAGAATACCTAGCCAGGGGAGCGTGGGGTGAAATATAGTGCAAAAGACCAAATAAAATCCACTGAATTTCAAAATAAACTGCGGTGGAAGGAGATAATCAGTGCATAAGCATACATAGGAAAAGCAGCAAAATGTTTTGATGCACTGGAAGTACTTGAAATTTATACTGCTGTGATCATAGAACATGTCCAGCCAGAGAATCCTGGAAGTTACAGGCCTTTTTCCTTTCTAAGCCTGCATGGGGTTGTATCTTTATTTGCTGCTTTCATTATTTGCATATTGGATCCAGACTTAGTCATACTTACATATTGAAATCAAAAAGACTTAAATCAGACCAGGCAATTATCTCTTTCAGGTGATCTTAACATGAACATGTTAAACTAGGCTCCAGCCCTAGCTTTCTTCCTTTTCATTTTCATTTTCCTCCACTTGTGGAAGGAAATGGTCTGAAGAGGAGAGCCTCATCTGAGGCAAAATGCTGAAATATCTCAGCTGACATTTATTTAAAAAAAAATACTCTGTTAATCCCTGAAGTAGCTTCATCTTTGGAGTTCAGGGTGAGAGACTGCTTTGAACCTTACCAATCATATCATTAGCTGCCTGGAGAAAAAATAGGATACAATTTAAAAAGAAAGCAAAAGGTTAAAAATAAATCAATAGCTAACATTCTCCAGTGTATGAGGAGATTGGAGAAGGACAGCAGGAAAAACAGGATGGAGGTACTGTTAGCTTCAGTTGCGGAAGAAACTATCACAGTGCAAGATGGTGAGGGAATAGAGAAGGGCTGCAGTCTTGGACTGGTGCTGATCTGGGAAGGAAGAAGCAGTTGCCTGTAGGATTTCTTGGATCTAACATGTGGTATTCTGTGAAGAGAAGCCCTAACTTACGTGTTATGTTTGTATTCCGTCCTTCCAATAAACAAGATGGACCATTGTACATTCATCCTTAGAGCAAGAACAACAGCATGCGGTGCTTAAGGTGTTTGCCATCCAGATGCTGAGGATACCTGGAAGTGTTTGGCTTTCACTTATTGAAATTATTATTTGGGTTTTTTTTTCAAGAACTATACAGGGAAGACAAGTATTTTTCTTAAGGCTCAATTAAATTTTGCTCACTTCCCTTTCATTTCAAATGCAGGCCATGATCATTGCTTTTACATCTGATATGATTCCACGCCTGGTTTATTACTGGTCATTTTCGATCCCTCCCTATGGAAATCACAGCAGTCATACTATGAAGGGGTACATAAACAACACACTTTCTGTCTTTGCTGTATCCGACTTCAGAAATCATAGCAAGCCAGCTGTCCTTCCCATGTTTGCCAACCAAACAACCTGCAGGCAAGTCTATTATCCTATTTTAAATATCCATTCTTTCTTCTACTTTAGGGGGAAAAAGATTTCTTAGCTTATTGAACTGCTGTTGTCCAAAGGAAAAATTATGTTTTCCTGTTTTACAATCATTTGAAAAAGATTTAATTTTGCATAGTAATGTAAATGAAAAATTCAGTATTTCAACAGCTCTAATTTGATCTAGAATAGTTCTACATTAGTTCTAATTACATGCTCCTTAAAGAGAGAGAGGTGTTAGAATCGGGTGAAGAGGACAGGATTTGCTCCCCCTTCTGGCTGAGGTAAATTATTGCACAATCTGTTAAAGTTTTTGTATGTTTTTTACTGTGTTAGATACCGAGATTTCCGATACCCTCCTGGACATGAGCATCAATATGAACACAATATCTATTACTGGCATGTTATTGCAGCCAAGTTAGCATTCATCATTGTCATGGAGGTCAGTATCTTTTATCCTGAACTTTAGCAAATTTCTTCGGCGTTTGATATAATGTCAGTGCGTGCTTTTTCATGCTTTCACCCTAGAGCTGCCCCCAATCTCCCTTTTCATCCCTTTTGTAAATCCCCTGCAAGCATGTCACTCAGAGATTGCCAGCAATGAAATGAAAACTATCACATAGGGGTGCTGAAGATCCGCACACACAGATTTTCCAGATCTAAATAAAAACAAAGCCGGCTGAGTTATTTTGGCACAGCTTTATTTTGAGGTTTATATTATAGTACATATGTACATTTGGGAAGAAAATGTCAGGAAAGATTATGAAGATGTGTGTAAAGGGATTGAAATGAAAAAGCCTTATGGATTTCTTTCCTTAGAGTAAGGCTAACTATGTCTTCATTTCGTCTGTCGTCTCCCGGGAAGAAGATGAGCAAATACAGAGCAGATACTGGACAGTGAATTTTCACTGCTTCCGTGGAGACTGAGAAGGCAAAGGGGAAATCAAAAGTTCATATTATGCTACTTGAAAGTTCTAAGACATCACTTTTAATCTTTCCCTTTCCTTTGCCTTTTATGTTAAGCCTATATATATATTTAGGACCCACTAAGCCCTGTAGCTGCCTCCCTGGCTGGTTATTGCAAGTGACCCTTCCAAAGAGTAGACATTGCTCAAGCGTTTGCCCCCATCATTCCCTTACGGAAAATGACATGTGGTTGCTACTGGCAACATATCTTGAGGAGATGGGCATTTTGAAAGGGTGAATGTACAGCCGGAAAGCTGCTGCCCCACAAAACCCGTCCTTACCACAGTACAGTGGTACCTTGGCTCACAAACTTAATCAGTTCCAGGACTCTGGTCATGACCCAAATTGGTCATGAGCCAAGTTAAATTTCTCCATAAGGTTCAATGCAATAAGGTTAATCCGTTCTGTAACCATTTTTTGTTTTAATCAGAAAAATGTGAAGCAAAGTGACAAAGAACAACAAAGATCGCAGCCATCTCCCCCCCACACCCCGAGCCCAAGTGCAGCCATCTGCCTGCCCCCCCCAGCATGACCGAGATCGCGCCTGTCATCCCTGCATGCGCCTGTCATCTCGGCACGCTGAGGGGGTGGGGAGATGGCCGCACTTGTGCTTGGGGAAGGGAGAGACAGGCGCAATCTCAGCCATATCCCCCCCCCCGCCCCCAGCATGATCATGGCCATCTCCCCACCCGGGGGGGGGGGAGATGGCCGCAATTGTGCTGGCTGGGGGGGCAGATGGCCGAGATTGCGCCCGTCTTTCCTGCAGGAGCGCGCCCTTGATCACGCATGTCTTCCCTGCATGAACGCAACTGTGATCGTGGCCATCTCCCCACTCGGGGAGTGCAGGTGGGGAGATGGCTGCGATCTTGGTCGCCACCCAATGTGGAGTTCACGACCCACATCAAAATTTTCATGACATTTTTGTTCGCGACCCGATTTGGTCGTGAACCAAGGTGTTTGTGAGCTGCGGTACCACTGTACTGATCTGTCCGTGCCTGCATCGCACAAATAATGTGTAGCTATGTAGCCTGCACGGCATACACCACCTGATGCCATAGAAATAGCGGCTTCACCGGCGATTTACTAGCAGATGAGCTCTTAGTTGAGAGAAAGAAATGTCCTGGACATGCTTTGAGAAACTCTTAGCGGTTTGCCAGAATTCTTAAAGAAGCACATTCCCTTTCTGTTCAGCAGTAGAGACCAGTCAGCAGGCACAGGTATTTTTATTTTGGATCAGATTAAATTTAAATTTGGAGAGCCGGTGTGGTGTGGTGTGGTGGTTAAGAGCATAGGACTGGGACTCAGACAAGCTGGGTACTAGTCCCTGCTTGGCCATGGAGCCAACTGGGAGCCAACTTTGGGCCCATCACACACTCTCAGTCCAACCAATCTCACCGGGTTGTTGTTATGAGAATAAGTTTGAGAACAGCAGGAGGAAAATGATTTAAGCTGCTTTGAGTTCATTGTAAGGAAAAAGCAGGGTATAAATCTAATAAATAAATAGCTCCCTCTGCTGAAATGACTGAGAGCAAACAGGGCCTGAAGTTTCTGTCTTGAGGTTCTGTATAGAATTTGAAACTGGAGCATAAGTCAATTACTGGTGATGTTTTTTTCCTTTAATAATTATTATATATTCTTTTTTCTAGCATCTTGTCTACTTTGTGAAGTTCGTTATTTCATATACCATTCCAGACGTGTCAAAGAAAACCAAAAGCAAAATTAAACGAGAAAAATATTTAATACAGACGCTTCTGCATGAAAATCCTTTGAAAATGATGAAGAAAAATATGGGGAACATTGCTGACAAAATATTTAAGGGAGCAGATGGCACATTCAGACCAAAATATGAATAAAGACATGATACGTTATGCATGTGAATAATTCAGCCAAAACAAACCAAATAACTGGACCAAAGACTTTGTAGAATGTAATTACAAGGAAAGAAGTAAATGTTCATACACATGTTGAACAGAGTGAATAATATTGTTATTTCCCCATGTTCTCCTGTGGCTTGGAATATTACATGAAATTCTGAGCATATAGACTCAGCATATGACTTTATAGGTACAGATGAATAAGTTCTTCAATGTTAACCATTTCCTTTTAATAGAATTCTAGTTGATTGCTTTAAACTATACGGCCAGACCACATAGCTAAGCAGGCTTATGGTTGATGAATCTATTACAGCCAATCAAGTATTTCATTTTTTACTATGGAAGATTTTCCCTCCAATGCTGTCGCCAAAATGGAGGTTTTCTCCCCAGGGATGCCGAAGAAGCTGCTCCTTAATTGAGCAATGCCACTAATTTTGTTTGTTTTGTTTTTGTAACAAAAGCTTATATTCCAGGACCTAAGGAACTCTCTACCACTATAACTCAAGGCTCCACAATTGATCCTTTTCTGTTACCACCAATTTTCTTAGATAATCAGCTTAGGTGTGAGATGGGCACTGGAGATAAGATGAACTGCTAAACAATTTATTAAAGAGAGTTTGTACATAGTTGAATACTAATATTTGCTTTGTGGTTTTCAAAAGAATGTATGCTGACACTGCTTAAGGACTCAAGAGGCACTTGTCAATGCAGACCTGTTAATTACTTCTTTGACCTTGGGTTCATTTTACTAAACCTTCACCCCAGTTAAAAGCACTCATAAGCAAGTTCAGTTCGTGAGTACAGATTTCTTCAGATCCTACAGCTTTTCCTGTTCTATTTCTGACTGCTCTGACTATCCTTCTAGCAATTAATGCCTTGTGGCAAAATCTTAACACAGCCTTGTAACCTAACACATCCACCTCCCTTCTCCTGATCGTCACCAGTCATGTATTATTATCTCACAGAAAAGGAACAGCTTAATATTCAGACCTTAGCTATTCACTCTCCCCTCAGCTTTCTTCAGCCCTTCTATAACACTGCCCATCAATGAGCAGACCGCTCTGCCTAACTGCCAGATGTCATTTCCCAGCTGCTCTTTTCCACCTAGCCAAAATCCCCAGCTAATCATAATGTGAATTTACTATTGCTGATCCAGGCCCCATCTAAAAATATTACAATCATCTCTATCTTAACCTTCAGAATGTCAGCCAGCAGCTATTAAAATGGGCCTTTAGCACAGTACCTGGACTAGGTTTAGTTCTACACAGTTGCATTGAAACCTTTCAGAGGCCACAAAGGTAGTTAAAGAACAGCAACAGTTAAATATGTGGCATTTCCACACCCTTATAAATACATTTTGTGCTCATCTGTTGGAGGAAAGAACCAGCTGGGTTTTTTTTTTTTTTACCATGGCAGGTCCTACAGAGTGGCTCTAAGGAGGTAACACCAAATAACCCAATCCAAGGGGTAATGGCTGAGTTCAGATGAAATGACAAGCCATGGTTGATCTGTTGTGGTCTGTGGTCTGAACCCAGTTGTGGTGTTTCTCAATGGTAAGCTTGCACTTTAGAAATTGCAATAAGAAACAACTGTTTCTTCTATAGATTCTGTGTATCAACATGGCTTGTCATGTAGTCTAAACTGGGGGTCATGGTTTTGATGGTCTTAGTATGCAAATACCATAGAGTCCTCTGGAAAGAGTGGCAATGCAGAAGCCACTTCATGCATCTAGCCTCTAGAAGAGGGGGATAGAAACCATGATGACATAGAAAACACTTGTTTGTCAGGCAGATCGTGATTTAAAAACAAACAGACAAACAGTGAACCATTTTTTTTCACATGGTAATCATGCAGGGTTGTTTGTCCCCTTCTGTGAATGGAGCCAGTGTCCATGTATTGTGAGCTTATCTGAAAAAAAGATGCCCTTCCACCAAACACCCAACAAGAACATATGTAAATGCTGAGACTATTTTAAACTACACCAAAGTTTATTCATCACCATACTGGATTGGGTAAGTTTTGTACAACTAATATTATGTGCCTGGCCTGTTGCTTACCATGATTAATGACATGATTTCCTTGCTCTGCTTCCAGCACCAACTCTAGCTCAGAGCACTGAGTTGCAAAACGACACAACAGAAGACACCTGAGGTATATATTTTGCTGTTACCATGCACTTCCCAACTTAACACAACATGAAATTAGAAGAGAAAATTGGCAAAGCCCTCATGGGTATGCATAAGCTATCAAAAATATCAATAGAAACAATAGCATAAAGCTATGATTTATGTCATCAGAAAATTAATACTTAGAATGAGTTTACACTGATTATCATGTTGGGACATAAGTGTATCCTACAGTAATTTGAGGCACAGATTTTGAAGTATTCCATGGAAAGCAGTTTTTGTTCCTTTGGGGCCAATTGGTTCTCCAAAGATTCAGAAGGAGCTATAAAGTTACAAATAGAAATACAATAACTTCAGAGCTTTTGATAGTAAAGGCTTCTTCCTTAAGCAACTTCTCCTAGAAACTATTCTAACAGACAAGCATGGTGCTGATTAAGTATTAAATATGGTTCTCTGCAATCCTGACCACTAATTGACTAAACAAGTCAAGCAGGGCATTTGGACTAAAGATGCAATTCCATGACCTTCCAATATTATTTGGGAGGCCATAAGATTATTCAGTCCCAGTTTTGAGATGCTGCAATCTCAGAGTGGGAACTGTGAACTAGGGTTACAATGACCCCATGGAATAGTTCCCTTTTCTGTTCTATCGGATTCTATCTCATGCTTGGCCCTGGCTTAGGAAGTGAGCCAAGCTGAGCCAAGAGGAAGTCCCTGAACCCTCACAAATGCCATGGAAACTCCTGTTGTGTTACCTGGCACATGCAGCACCACAAGTCAAATGCAGAGAACGCAGGTGCTTCTTGTGCAGTGTTCACACAGGCTTGATTCCTGATGGGCGCTCATGTAAATGTTCAGCGCCAAGTTGGAGTTTTCAGCTCAGAAAGGCTGGAATCTAGGAAGTTGAGCCAAGGGAATCCAATGGATCCCACCTCAAAACAGGTGGTTCACACATCCCTATTCTGAACACCAGTCTCCCACCCCTCCCCCTTTCAACCAGCACAGACAATTAACATGCCAGCTTCCCCACCTCATGAGGTCTTCTCAGACGGAGAAGAGAGGTGTGCACTCTGGAGGTAATTGGAGCTCAAAGTTACATCAATTCCAGTCAGTGTCCCAGCCTCCTTTCCTCTTCTTCTCTGGTGTTTTATCTGGACGGCCAAAACAGCTATCTGGATACAATATCCAGCTCTCAACCTCATCCCATGCATAGGACACATGTAAGCTTCTGAATTTGGATGTTTACATGCATCAAGGGTAGGGGATTTAGGATTATACCCTTGGAAACCTACAGTACAATCCTATGAATGCCCACTTGCCAATGAAACCCATTTAGTTCAATTGGATTTACTTCCAGATAAATGTGCATAGGAATGCAGCCTTAACATATGTGTGAGATTCATTGATTCACTGCATGTTGGGTATCATATATGAGAAATATGGTTTACATATAATATGTATGTAATAACTGTACCAAAAATGTTTAGTAATATAAACTTACCTATTATGAACTATAGAGTTATTTTAATGACATTTTATAATGATATTTTATTTTACTGTCGGTAACAGAAAAGAACATGATGTAATACCTATGCCTAATGTTTCATTCTACTTATTATATCTCATTCAATGCAATCTCCTATATTTATTTTATATTTATATAAAAATAAATAAAATTGCAGTAAAGGCTGGTGAGACCTTGGTGTTCTAACTAAAAAATTAATGCAATCCTATGAACATTTACTCAGAAATAAGTTACACTGTATTCAGTGGGTCTTGTTCTTAAGTAAATTCACTCAGCATTTCGGGTTAAAGGACAAATTAAGGCTATAATCCTAGTCACATGTACCTAATGCAGTTCTTCACATAGACATAATAAGTGAAGCCATTGAACACAGTGAATCTAACCTCCAAATAAACATGTATGGATGTTTACTGAACATGTCCAATTTTTCAGTTAGGAAACCAGCCTAGGCAAGTAGGTAAACTAGGTAACCATCCCAGCTACCACTGCTGAGCTGAACTGTAGCAGTCTCTGGTTTTCTATGCCATAGCTGTCAAGCCAAGCATTACCAACCCCTCAGTATTTCCTACTTGCTCAATAGTGTAATTCTGTTCTCTAATGAGAATATAAAGCAGAGACCAACTGTCCCATATCTTGCTCCTTTTTCTTATGCTTGGGCAATGTTTATTAATAATGCTGTAGAACGGAGAAGCCACTAAGAGCAAAGAGGCCAATGGTAGGGTTCAAATGTGAGGGAGCTGGTTACTTAACTTAAGTAGGCATATAATGATGCAAGCTGATACGATTCTCAGTGGATCACAGCCAAATGCTTAAAATATAGAGATTAAAAGAGCAATCACCAGAAACAGCACCATACATTTTACAGAGGTTCTATGTACCTGATACTTTTTCATTACTATAACCCTAGAATTTGAGTGTAACATGTGAATTAGCCTCTTGCCTCCAGATGCTAGTGTTACTATTGCTAGCATGTGTCCCCAGCATTCCACTGCAATTTCTGCTGCTCCAACATTGAGAGGTTCAAACTGTGAATCCACATTTTAGAGGATCTGCGTGACTTACTAGTATTGCTGAATGACATGTTTTTGTACTTTTTAATAGCATTTTCTATTATGTTCTTCTCAAAATGTATTTTATTTTTATTATGGTAATAAAGTTGATTTTATAAAGTAATTTGCTTAGTTTTGGCCTTTTAAAAATGGAGAAACCAAAATATATCTACTGATCAATTTTGTCCTAAAGGTTTTTGATTATGGCTTTTGCCAGGTTAATCTTGCAGAATCAAAAACACTGATCTCGTATTACTAGACTGAGTACAAGGTCACCAAAAATATTCAAAATAATGCATATAAGCAAAGGATAGGGTTAGAGCTTTCTTTCACTCCCCTCAAAAAGCTCCCACACACTTCAAAGAGGTTTTTAAAAGCTTCCATCATCACCAAGTTCT